AGTGGTTGGTAGGGGAGCATCGGCTGTCGGGTAGAGGAAAAGAAGAGGTGGGCAGGGGATACAAGGCCGTATCCCGTATCAGATCATGCAACCAGGCCACCACAGATCCCATCTCTCACTCAAAAGGAAGGAGCCACAGGGGAAGGAGCAGCAGCACACAGCTCGACCTGGACGACGGTGAGGACGACGGATCGAGACAGCCACTACGAGAGACTACGGCTCAAGGCACTCCCTCTGCACAGCTGATACTACGGGGGAAGGGGCAGGGGCCATTCACAGGCTAATAAATTGGATCACTTGGCTGATTGATGGGTTTTTTGGGAAAAATAAAAACATTTCCGGTCTCAAAATCGTGAAAATGGCTATACTGTCATGTGAATTCATCGCATAACCGATTATTGGAGGGCTGGGAGTAAATCAAAAGGATTGAGTTTTTGAGCAATTTCCCAGAAAATGAGAAAAACTAAATTTCTTAGATTAAAGCTGAATTCGGTCGAACTATTGTCAAAAATGAGTTAACTGGCTTTAAACAATGCTAATGGGTGTTGTTAGACTATCTAGAAATATGTTTACAAGGATTGAGTTTTGTAACGGCGAAAGTATGAAAATAGGAAAAGTCAACGAAACCTGATAAAATCCAAAAAACCTGGGAAGCCAGTGCCAGTTTTATTAAAACTACCGGTCATACAAGGTTTTGAAACAAAATAAAAAAGCAAAATAAGTATTTTCAAGGATTGAGTTTTAGCAAAAAGAAGGTGCCAAGATTCTTCAAAAAAACTTTCAAGTGCTGCAGATTTTCGGCAAAATGGGTGCTAATAATCAAAAAGCTATCAGTTTAGCTAAATCCGTAAAATACAACTGATTTGCCATAAAAATAAGTCATTGACAGTCGGTTTCTTGTCGAGACAAATCGGTTAGAGGGGGGAAGTTTGTCGTGTGGTGGGTAGGGGGGGATGGAGGGGACATCCCATCCTTCCATTCCCTTCCCTTCCTTTCTCAGGGTCATCCTCCCCCTCCTCTGTTGCTGCTCTCGGGTTGAGAAAAGGGTTCGTTTTATTAGCCCCGTCACCACCACCATTCCCCCACAGATTTACCGCATTTTCAAAAAGGAAAGAGTTACAAATCTCGAAAAGTGTGATTTTGATCGCGCTTTAGGTTGCGCTCCAGAACATATTTTGGTCGCGTATTTGTATTTTCTGGTAGACAGTTAGCTATAAAATTTAAAGCTTTTTCCAATATTTTTTAGTCTTTACCGGATTTACCGCGTTTCAAACAAAAATAAAGTTTGAAAGCTAAGAGGGCCATCCTAACGTATCTTTTGTAGGTTGCACAACAAAATAAATTTTACCAACATATATTTGTTGTCTGCTTGCCATTTAAGCATAAAATTTAATAAACAAAACCGACCGTTCTCCAAAATCGTCTTCAGCCTCGTCGTTTCCGCCTCGAGCCGCAAGAAATAGTCGACGAGGGCCGTTGGAGGGTCCATTCTGACAAGCGCCCAACCGATTACGACCTAAAAATCAAGGATTGAGTAGACTGACATACAACAAAACCGCCACTATCACTAGAATAGAGTTTTCCCAAGGCCAAAAGTCAAAAACGTTTGTGAAGCAGGGCCGACTGGACGCTCTGCCCTCGAAATTAAAGGGGTGTGAAAGGCAAACAAGTAGATGAGGGGACTGCCAGTATCTTTTTCACGCCATTTCCCAGATTCGGAATATTTGGGCAGCAGGCAGTGCCGACAAACAGTTCAGTTCACATCCATCCCGCCCCGCTATAACCAACACCATCCCTACCCTCGCGAAATCGCCGGCATAAGGGGCAACGGGTTCACGGCTTCATAGTTAGAGGAATTCCCGTTCAGAAAACCGGAATTCGAACCAAGAAACGTGAAAATAGCAAAATGGAACGAATTCTGAAGAAACATGCTAAAAGATTGTTGGATTGAAAAGCTTAGGCCTGCCGCTAAAACTCAATCCTTGGGTTTTGCAAGTTACACTATAAATTTAACGAATCCCGGCCAGCTTTTAGTCAATTTAACCAATAATAAGAACTTTAGGTTTTTGCTAAAGTTTTGCTTTTGGAAAAGTTGTCTTGCGAAAGTAATAGCTAAAAATTGAAAAGGCCTGGTCGCAAAAACTCAATCCTTATAAATGAGGATCAATACCGTAATTTTTCTGAATTTGAGTTGATTTACAATCAATTTAAACGATAGTGAGAATGAAATAACTTATCAGTCAGAAGGGATCCCGTTATGAGCAACGCCGCCCAGGCCCCCGAAAACGTCACCCAACCCCTCGCGATATCGCCGGCAAAGGGGGCAACAGGTTCATCGCTTATTAGCAAGAGGATTTGGCGTTCAGAAAGCTTGAATGCAAACCAAAAAACTTGGAAAACAGCAAACAACATGTTTTTGAACGGATTGCATCCGAAAAGTTAGCTGGATTGACAATCGCGAAGCAGCCGCCGAAACTCAATCCTTGGGTTTTGCGAGTTATGCTATAGTTTTTACAATTTGCCATGAGTTTTTAGTCAAGTTAACGCATCCTAAGAAGTTCAGCATGTCTTGAAAGCTTTGCTTTTCAAAAACTCGATTAGCTAGCAAAATATCGGGAACCAGTTTGATAGAGCGCTGACCTGGCAAACTCAATCCTCGCAATTGATGATTCATACGGTAATTCTTATGATTTTGCGATGTTTTACAATCAGTTCTGACGATATTGGGATTTAAACTTTATCATAAAACTTTTCCCTTTAATTCCAGCATCAATCTGTCTGTTCGACCCGCTGCCGAGACCCTCAAAACCGCGGGCATGCAGACTAAACTGAATCCTTGGGTTTAGCAATCTAAGTCATAGATTTAACAAATTTCGATAGTTTTCTAGCCAATTTAACCCGTGATGGGGCTTCTGTCAAGATTTAACCTCGCACTTCCGAAATGACCGACTTCTTCCAGAATCCCAGGTTATGCAGTCAAAATCACAAAATTGCCGCCCCAAATCAATCCTTGGGGTTTTCCGAGTTAAGCGTCAGATTCAGCAAATTTGAATGACGTTGGGGTCAATTTGCCGCACGCCAAGAATTTTATAATGTCTTATCGTTTTGCTTTTGAAAAAGAAAATATCGACTTATTGAGATAATTTCGAGGGCGATCGGAAAACTCAATCCTTAATCTTCCTGATCGATGCTCTGAATTTCACAAATTCAGAACGTTTTATGTTCAATTTAAACGATATCATGGTTTAAACTTTAGCAGAAAGCTTTTCTTTTAACTCCAGTCACAACCAGTCTGTTCGACCGCACCAGGCGAGGAACTCAATTCTTCTGCTTTGTGAGTTATTCATTAAATTTTACAAATTTTGGGCCGTTTTTAGTCAGTTTGAAGGAAGCTACGCATTTTAAAACGTTTTTGACGTTTCGGTTTTGTGAAAATGGATTACTAGTTTATGGGTATCCCGGGATGAATTTCGAATGAATGAATTTTGCTAAACAACAATAGAATGCACCCGGAATTGTAGTTTTCCAAGGTTGCCCGGCGACGAATGGGCGGTATGAAAAATTGGATCTGGACACAGCGTTGCGAACACCTATTCCGAAAGGTCAACCGCGCCAGCAGTAAAAACTGGTAGTGTATTTTTTGAGGCTCTATTTAATAGCGTTAACAAAATGTCAAAAATAATATCGAAACTCCCGAAAGATAGCTTACCCACCCCGTTTTCAGGGCCCTTTTACCTTTGTTCTAGCTTTCTTAAGTTATTATTTTTGATCTAGAGCCACGATTTCTTGGTATATTTTGTTGATTTTCTTGGGCTGCGATGATGTAGTCCCGATATCACATAAAACATTGAAAAATCTACGACATTAACGCCCCCCCCCCGCTAACGAACAAGAACCTGGAGAGTTCTTGTTCAGCAGCGGCCGCTGGCAAGTCTTCAGAAACTTGTCAAAAGCCAAAAGTTTCAAATCCAGTTGCCTCTAAACGGCCTTTTATTTCGTACTTGGATGCTGGTTGAAGCTGTTAAGCGAACTTTCGTATGTTGCAAAGACATATTCAGGGCGTGCAATAACAATTCATGCCGTGAACCTCAACCACAACGCGGAGCAGTCGATTCGACGTTACTCTTGAGGCATTGATTTTTGACGGTCTGGTCGACGCACGTCGACGAGCTGGACCAAGTTGCGAAGATGGCCGTTCGACTGTCGTACCCGTCATCGGGCGAGACACCCTCTCGTAGATATTGGAAGCCTGGGTTGGATTGCCAAACACCTGTCCGAAAATCATCTGTCCGAAAAACACCTGTCCGAAAAACATCTGTCCGAAAAATCACCCGTCCGAAAAAACATGTGTCCGAAAAAACACTTGTCCGAAAATCGTCTATCCGAAAAATCATATGTCCGAAAAGTCGCCTGTCCGAAAAAACACCAGTCCGAAAAACTAGTGTCCGAAGCAGCCAATCAAAACCCTTTTCGTATCACTTAGTCAGTTCCTAAAGGTTCGAGGTGTAACTGCCACCAGATAGCCCCACGTGGGGAAAGCCCCGGAATCGTGACCAAACCAAGTTTCATCGGCCGTATCTTAGGGAATGCCTGCCCGAGCTCATTGAGTCACTCTCCAAAAATTTATGATACAGTAGCGGTTCGTATCCCCGGAAACTACCCTCCCATTTGCTCCAAAATCCGGTTTGAATAGATTACCTGAAGGTCTTGGGAAGTTTCAGTCGCACTTTGATTTCATGGTCCGAAATTTACTTTTCGGACAGTTTATTTTCGGATGGATGCTTTTCGGACAGGTGATTTTTCGGACAGGCGACTTTTCGGACAGGTGACTTTTCGGACAGATGTTTTTTCGGACAGGCGATTTTTCGGACAGGTGTTTGTCGGACAGATGTTTTTCGGACAGGTGTTTTTCGGACAGGTGTTTTTCGGACAGGTGATCGCCACCCCTGGGTTGCCCTGGTACTGGAAGATTGTTTGGTTGGCGCCGCATGAGTTCGTTAGGTTTGCGACCCAGCCGAGCCTGGTCCAAAGAGTAATATTCCGGTTGGCGCCAACGAGTTGGGCACCTAAAAAGAATTTTGTTTCATATTGAAATTGCGCGAGTAGCTCATTTGACAGGGGCTTCAGCTTTTGAACTTATCCCATTTTTTACAAAACTCAACGACTAGGGGTTGGGGCAGGCAAGGATCGCTGCCCTATGAGAGGCATATCGCGTGCCCGCAGCCTACGGCACTCGAAAGCTTTTGGATGCGGGTTCGATCACCGGCCGGAGCAATTGTTTTGCGTATTGGATCCGGAGCGATCTTTGGAACTGGGAAGCTTGTAATTTCTAACTAAAGTGTTGGAAAAAAGCTGTTCGGAAAGGGCCGATTCAATAAACTGAAAATCACTTGGCCGGAAGCTCAGAGCACCTCGGAATGGGTTTCCCCAAATCCCGGATCCCTCAAGGGTTCCGCAGCAATGTCCGAATTTACGATTTAGGTATCCATCCAAGGCTCTCGGTGAGGTGCGTCCAGAAGCTCAATCGGATTTTCCAAATTCCGGAATTTTTTGACCGTAATTTATTATTCTGTGTAAGCGCGCAAATTTTTTCCTGGAGAGTTTTTTTGTCAAAGAAAAACCCCCATTTCTAAATGCTCCGTTTTTCTGGCAGTGGATGACAGCTATTAGAACAGCCATTTAAGAAAAGACAGCTTCGAAGGCGCATAAGCCGGTTAAATTGAGTATTGGGAGGTACGAAAATGGTAACTTGCCGGGATAGCTAATATCAAATAATCCGGAATTTCGAAAACAACAAAGCTAGATCCGTAAAAACCATGATGGTAATACTTACCATTAGGATTAACATATAGCTCCAGCGATCCATCGCACCCCGGGTCGTTAGCGCCATACCACCAAGTATTCCTGAAGTTTTTTAATACGAAAGAAGAGATGTTATAGTCAAAATCGGGGCATCATACGGGACTAAGCTTTTGCGCTTAAAACATGCTTTTTGTACCAGCCTTTTTAATCTGGTCGTTTCGCTGATTTTGAAATCAGCATTCGAATCACCGAAAATTCTGCACAAGCTATGCTTGGCCCGTGTGGGAACCGGATTATCACAAAAAATCTCCTTTAAAACGATTGAATTACCCGTTACAATACATCGGTGTGGGTACGGTATCAGCAAGGCCGGCGCGCCAAACGTTTATATTACTGCCTCTGAGGAATCGCGGGATTCGTTTAAGTGCTGGGGAGCGACGGATGTGGTTGTTTCACTAATTGTGGTGCTTTTGAGTATTGTACTCGGGTAGGTGGTAGGCTTTTCGGAATCGACAGTACTGGTCGTGGCGGCGGCGGAAGCTGAAATGTGCTATTTCTGGGCGGCAGTACCACATTTGCTACAATGAGCGGGCTTTTGATGTCATATCGCCTAATTTTTCCCAGTCTCTCAAGCTCTTGATTTTACCTGGAAGCTGAATTGCCGCAGCGGAAGCGCTTGCGCAAATGCCGCTTTGTTTTGCGTAGTAGATGCACTGTTCGTTTTCGCCCTCCAGCACGGCCACCCTGAATTGCGGTAGATGGTCAACTTTGGCAGATCCAAGAAATTTTTTAGAGGGGCCAGAAAATCAAATTTGGGTGTTCCGGGTCAAGTGCCCTTGCAAAAAAGGAAACGCTAAAAAAATGCCGACGAATTGTGTTCGCCGCGAAAACGGCCAAACATTTGATCTAAAAAAATGTTTTTGGGGATGGATTAGACTTCCCTGTCCCTTTAATTCACACCATACGTTCCAATCATGCCGATGACACAGCTAGCCGGAGCAGTCACTGTGCAACAGCGTACATGCGTACAATCCGCATCGGAAGTGATGCAGTTTCGCATAGCAAGAGCGAGCTAAATTTCAGAATTGCTAGATGCTGCGGAAAGTACATTTGGATAAGCAATATTGCCGGCGACAAATTGCGTGTTGGCAACGGTGGACGTTCGCGCAAAATAATTCTGCCCCTAAAAATGAACCTTAGGCTTTTACGGTATTCCTACTACCCAACTACTATCTACCATATTACCTTAACGTAGTAGATTGCACAAAATAGCTGTACGCATCTTAATATGGAAGACGACATTAAATGTACTATTTCCAAGTTCATAAGCGTCGCTAAAGGCACAAATTTCCGTGGTATGGAAAAATCAACTTTTCGGGCATGTCTGGGAAAAGTTTTCAAATTCCAAACCACGCTACCGGATAATGCCTGGCTACAAATTGCTGCCGGCGCAGTGAGGCGGTGGCTCGCGGAAATTTGGTCCTGACCCTGGAGATTAATGGAAATTGGGTGCATCTGATGGAGTTGTTTCGGCTTTGCCTGAAAATCTTACTACTTCCTTGACGTCGAAAATTATGATGAGTGAAATTTTGAAACTATGAAATTTCGAAACTATGAAATTTCGAAACTATGAAATTTCGACGTTACGAATTTGACATTATCATCACAAACCAAGTGATTCATCAAGCAGATTCACTCCATGTGTTGTTTTCAAGAAAGTTGAAGCCATTTATCAACAACCTTAATTGCCGCCTCACGACGTGCAAACCGGGTACATCTTCTTATATATAGCACAGTTTGTGTCCATCTTCGTGTCGATGCACGTCCCGCCGACGCCATACCACGCATAGAAGACGATGCCAAGACGTTTTCCTGGATTCCTTGTCGTCCCTTCGGCCAGGTAGAAGTTGTACGTTGTGGAGGCGGCTCCGATTCCGACTAAAACCACGTTTGGAAGGAGGTGGAACCCGGACGGCTTGTTGCGTAGTTACCTCACCAATCGTGGTGTAAGGTATACCGAAATTCAGGCAAAGCGGCGACAAAGAGGCAAATTCCCGCACGTGACGCACTCTTTGAAAGATTTTGAGTGTACCTTAAATCCTTAGGGTCGTCGTTTTAAAGGTGCTCGGAAGTCAAGAAACGGTTACTGCCGAGAAGCACCAGAAAGTTGCAAAAACGCAAAATATTTGGGTAAAACCGAAATGTTCTCGGGGCGAAAACGACATTTTGCGTGCGCGGCGATTACACGTCGTAATGCTTTGCAAAAAACTCAATCTCTCGAACTCAGTGACTTTCTGATCGATTTCATATTTCAAAAACCTAGAATGATCAAGGTTCGATGAGGATTTCAAAAATAGCTTTAGAATTTTTAAATTCAAACGTTTTCACGTCCATACGGTGGCAAAAGGTCATGCGGTGCGGTTGCGTTGCGGTCTTGGTTGGTTGATTCCGGGCTATTCGCCAGGAATCAACGCAGGGGAAGCCGTGTACCAGATTTCTGCGCCTTTTTAAATCTTTTAAAACCTTAAAAGCTCCCAAGTTCAGGAATACTAGTCAAGCGTCTGGACGGTGAACTTTCAAATTTTCAACGGCTCCAAAAACTCGTCATTTGCAACTCACCAGTTTGGCTGTAGGCTATGATGGGAAGGGTGGCGCCGCACGCCGAGTTACTGGTCGGCGAGACATATCCGACGAAGCTGTTCTTTAAGGTCTTCTGCAACGCCAGCGAGGAGCCTGCAAAAAGTCCGAGAACTAGCTATAGAGTGTTTTTACTCACCATCGGGCGTCACGTAGAATGGCTCGACGCCCGGGCATTGCGTGGCATTGGTCAAGTAGTTCCACGTGATGCTAAAGCCGTGGGATTATTATGAGACCACAAATGGACCTAGCTTACCGTTGACAATAGAAGATATCCGGGTAAGCAGCGGACAGGCCCTTCTTCCAGATAAAGTACCATCTTTTGCCGGCGATACGATACCGGGTGATCGGGTGCAGAGATAACGTGGAGGGCGGGGCTGGCATAAGGTATATAAATAAGAAGTTTCCCCTGAGTTCCGGTACTAGGTGGTTAGCGGGGGGTTGCGGGCGGTTCGAACTCTGGTCGATCACATACTAAAGTCCTACTCATGAAATTAACCCTATTTATGCGGCTTTGTACGACGTTTCGTAACGAAATTCCTATAAACTATCAAAAATTTTAATTATTTTAATTTTAAATTTTAAATTTTCTGAAATGTTCCACCGCCATAAAAATACCGTAAAAAAACCTGAAAAAATGTTGCTACATAGATATATAGGCTGGCAAGGTTTCCCTCCACCCAATCGTTACCCCTCCCCCCGCTAAGAGCCCAGTACCAGTTTCGATCCAATGTTCTGACACCTACCTGTGGTTTCCCCAAAGCATTGATCCCCGGTTTTCTGGAACGAAAAGCAGATATTTATGCTGGAATCGTCTGTAATCGCCGTGTCCCCATCAACCAGATAATAGACAGTTGGGTAAAGGCATTGAACGACCGAGTCGCATGTAGTTTGATTTATACACGCTTTCAAGGCTTCCTAAAATGGAAATAAGAGTGAATTTGTAAACAGCGGAGTGACCTACATAATACCGATTTACATAGTCCCGATTTTAGCGCTATTTTCGCTGGGCAGAAATTGCTACGTAATCACATTGTTTTTCCCTAGAAAATCTAATAGGTTCTAAACAATCAAATTGTACAAGCGATTCCAGAACTTATTTATTTTTTTCTTATTAGCGTTTTTGCGTTTAAAATGACCAGAGAATTATAACTACAAAATGTACTAAAAACCTGGGCGAAAATGATCAAAAGACCAAAACTTTTTCATTCCGATGAGTAAATTCGGATGCTACAAAATTGAAATTATGAAAATCGGCATTAGCTAAAATCGGCCTTCTGTCAGGCGGCATTCCGTAAGACGGCTTTCTGTAAGTCGGCATCATGAGCTTATACCGAGGTCAAACTGAGTTTAGGCCATTTGAACTTCATCGCCTTCTCACCTTCAAAGTGCCCGCATCCAATCTTTTTGCTTCATCTGGAACCCCAACTGGTATTCCGGTTCTCGTAAAGGAATATGTTGAAATCTCCGGGTAGTCGGTATAATCGTAATCTTGCGGAGTGAGGAAGCCAGCTTGAAGAAACAAGGACAATACCCGAAGCATCGAATACATATTTCTAACTTCAACGAGCTAGCTTCGAACGAATGCTTTCCAAAATTTCATTTGGACGCATGTCGCCCGGTAACTAATGCTTTATAGTGAAAGCATCTTTCTTCCTGGGGCCGAACATCCTGAGAAAACGACGAACTGAGAAATCATCCTGAGAAACTGAGAAATGTTCCGTGCCTTGTCTAGGAGTCCAGGTTTTGGTTTTTAAAGGAGCATGGACGTGCAAAAGCCATGCCCGTTCGCTGGCTTATTTTCAAAATCCCGAAAAAAATAATGTCGAAATTTACATAAGCTAGCATTTCCGGTAAAACCCCCAAACCCTACACAAAAATTTCGAAATGCTGAACTTCGACACTATGAAGTTTCGAAATTATGACATTTCGACATTATGATTTTCTACTTATTATACCAAATCCACGACGCGAAATCTTATCATAATGACGATATGTAATTCCGGGCTCTTTTCTAGCGAAAATTCCAAGTCCAAACCCGTTTAATAACCCCTTGCACTTAAAAAAAATACACAAATATGACTAATCCTGGTAGAGCCAAAAGCCCGGAACTCGCGACGTCACTTCCTGCTTCACAAGCACCGGATTCTCCCGGAAAAACTATCAAAATACCGTTACCGGAAGCCAAAATGAAACCATTGTGGCGAGTTTTCGAGTGAAAACCGGAAATTTCGCGACAATTCGCTTCCGGGAGAGCGCAAGCCGATGCGCTGGGGACAACAAAATTTCCGAGTTTCACGTTGTCATATAAAGCCGCGTTGTTTTTCGAGGCAAAATAACATTGAGCTCACCAATTCAGCAGTATCAACATATTCAAAAGCTCAATCAGAAATGGAATATTTTTATTGCGTAGTTTTTCGATTCCGGTTTCTTTAGCGAGTTTCGAGGAGGATGGCGATGATTGCCCCGGTGATGTAGATCCAGCCGAAGCCTCCTGCGATGCCGGCCGTCTGGGAGGAGTTCGCGGTGCGGAGGCAGATTTTCTAAACAAAGTGTAACCCCCCACAAATCAAACTGCACCCACATTGCCAGTACCATCAGCATCGCCGATCGTCGCACAATTCTGCGGCTTCAAGCGCAGCCGGGCATCCTTCAGCTCCAAATAGATAGGATTTGTGGCGCAGTTCAGCAGCGCGTCGTTGAGCACGTACTCCTTGTGGGATGCCTAGAAAAGGACCGATCAAGGCTCAAACGGGGTTATATACCGAGAGCCCTTCAATTTCGATGCATCGGGGGTAACGGATGATCTTGTCGGCGCCCGCGCGCTTCTGCCGAGTTGTTGACGTTTTTGCTTTCTTTTTTTTCTTTTCGCGAGTTTTTGACGAAAATCAAGTATTTCGGGAAATTAGCAAATCTTTTATGAGCTTTTCTATCTAAAAACCGTGTTAAGTGCAAAAAAATAGTTTTGTCTAAGGAAAGCCCCAATTTCGGCACGCTACCATTTGGAGAAGATCGTCAGACTTTTCGCTGATTTTGGGTCCTAAGGACACTACCGGCTGGTTCTCAGGCGACGTTTTTGGAATCGGCGGTGAGAAGCGCAGGTTATCCTCATCGGACAGCAACTCGGCGTACGGGCCAGACTGAAAGCAGGCTTTGGTGGACCCAAACGGCAATTACCAGCAAACGACGATACGAGATGACGGTCTTCTCATCGAGGCGGATGTCCAGGAGGACACAATCGTCGTATTTCCCATCGACGCTTGGGTAATCACATGCCTTGTCGCAATCTGGCGCCGACCAGGCGGTTTGAAAGGCGCCGGGGCTAAATAGAAAAATAACCGCAATAACGGTAAGGTTTTACGTTTTCCCATCAGCTCCGCACAAAGGCAGTGGCTGACAGCCGTCACCCTTTTTGCGCCCACCATGCGCGCAATACTAAAATCAAGAAAATTTGCGACATCCAAAAAAGAATACATTGACGTCTGGGCCCGTGACATCGTATTTGTAGTTGTTGAGCGGCGATCCATCAATTGCCAAATAGCCAGCCGCAAGTTGAAGGCTCGGCACGCAGGTTAACTCAAGGCGCTTGTCAAGTTCTTTGGCCGCAATTACGACGCTAAACGGCTCAGAGTGCAGGCAACACAAGAAAAACAAGCCTCGGGACCGTGAAGCCAGCGTCGCATTGCAGAAAATATTCGTTCGACGACTTCATGCTATCAGGGTTAAATGGTGAAGTGCTCCTGAATTGCTATTTTCTGACCAAAAAGGGCCCATACAGTTTATCCAGCGGGCACTCTCCCCTCGCCACCATCTCACGAGTGCACACGTTCATCGGAAACAAAACTGCAAAACAGTTTTCAGTATAAAACAAGGGATTGTTATGCAAAGTCGGCAAAAGCAAGCTGATTCTCCCCAGAAAATCGATGGTTTTCGGTAAAGGCAAATAATTTGTCGAATAGCCTTCTTTGGCTGGGAGAATCAGCTTGACTTGTGCGCTTTTCGAACCCTTGTCTCCATTGATGTCCACCGGCCTGATGCAGTTGTCGGTCTTCCCGTCTTGCTAAAACAAAGACGTACTGAAGCAGAGGACTAGAAATCGGTACGATTCTAGACACCTCCCAACTTTTGTTGCTTGGTTGCCCCTTATCGTATAGGGGTGTAAAGTTTTTGCTGTCTTTTGGGTGTGAGGGGTGTCTCAGCATCTATAGATTTCCTTACGCAAAAGTTGGGCGTGCATGGGATTGGACTGATGGAGGCTGGGCGAAAGCCTTTTCGGCTAATCCATAATTGGTCTTCGCAGACCTCCTCCGGCAGCTCGCACTTCTCGCACTGGAAAACAATAATTTTTGTAGCAACCCTTTACAATCTGACGCGCTTAACAATCAACATGCCTTTTGCGTCAGCACGGGATCCGGATCCGGGGGGAAACTGGGGTACGGCTGCTTCAGGGCATCGGCTGAGTAACAGACGAACATCCGAATATCTGGGCACTAAAAGGTATGCGGATTGCGATTCAGGGAAGCGCAAAGCTTACCGGTGGCAACTGCGGCTCCTGCGCCTCTTCGACCTTCAACGATTCAAACGCTGCGTTTGGGCTATTGGCGGATACGCTGGAAAAAGTAGTTTTGAAAATGACTTATCAAAAAGGCAAACTTATCTAAGCCAAAATGAAACTCAGAAAGCTTGAGTTGAAAGTGTGGCCTAACAAGGGGACGTTTTTTAGTGTGAATGGAGTTTTTGGTTGAAACCAGGCCTATTCTGTGCAGAATTTTGCGCTGATTCCGATGCTGTTTTCCAATTTTGCTAAATAGCTCGATTTAAAAAGTTACAGCTGTTTTAAGATAATTTTTAGGCCCAGAGCAGCCATATGCTATGCTGTGCTACTTTTTTGTTATAACGTTTTAATTTTTTTTAAGTAGCCTATCTTGTAGAGAATTTTTTTCTGATTCGAATGGTATATTTGATTAGTGCGCTACTGCCGATCGACGATGGCCTACGGGGGTGAGAAATAGGCTGTTTTTCACCATTTCCCATACAAAAATCGCAGCCCATACCAAGAAGTATCGTCGATTTTTTCGATTTTCAACAATTTTGAGTTAAGTAGCTCATTCGATAGAGAAAATTTTTCTGAATACAGTGACGATATTTATTTTTGGAAAAACAGCCGGGAAAAGCAATATAATGGTCCCTAAAGTGGGGAAAATTTGGGCTAAAATGATCGTAAAATTGCTATAAGTTTTTAAATCGAGCTATTTAGCAGAAATGGAAAACATATTCGGAATCAGCGCAAAATTCTGCACAAAATAGGCCTGGTCTTGTCTCAAAACTCCATTCACACCAAAAAACGTCCCCTTGTAAGTGCGGTCTACCAATTCTTGTATCGTGGCTTTTGGTTCCCTTGTCTTTGCGAAAATTTCTGTTGGAAAAGTCACAAGCACGGCCGGCGAAGTGTAAACCGAACTTTATCCAACCAGCCAATTAGCTCAAAAACAGTAAAAAAAACTCACTTGGCTCCAACGGGGACGATCAGGCTGCAGATGATGTAGGGGAAGAGCAGCCCACGGCACCACCAAGGGTTCGGACGACCGGTACTCATTGGACGCGGCTTGGGCGCGCGGCGCGTTCGGTGGCGACGATCCAGCAGAAGATGGCGAGGATCCATCAAAGGGACGCGGGGCTCCATCATCAGCCGGCGGACAGCCACCCGAACAGCACGACGGCGATTGATCAGCATGTCGTTGTTGTTGTTGGCGACGAGCTGGGGATCGACCATCGACAGCTGGAGGGCAGCCATCCGCAGAAGACGGCGTTTCTTTTCGACCCTGTCAGAGGCCCTGTGCAGCTTGCGTCGATCGTCGCGCTCCGAACGACGCGACATCAACACCATCGGACGTTGGCGGCGGCCCATCAGTGCTCGGAACGTGCTGGCTGAAGCTGGCGGGTTGAACGGAGGAATGATGGTCACACGCGAGAACCTTTCATGGTTTATTGAAATTTTTGTGGATTGAAAGTTGAGATAATAGATGCAAATGACCAGAAGTGGGTTCAAGGGCAATTATCAAGCTGCGCATACGTTGTATTACGTTCTCTCCAGTCAAAAAATCCGCAGCTGCGCATATTTCTATACATCTCTCGCTCTATCTCTCGCATTTCCGCTCCCTCTTTAGGTCTCTGTAATTCTCTCTAGTTCGCTCTCTCTCTCTCTCTCTCTCTCTCTCTTTTTCTTCCTCTCTCACCTTCTCACTTTATAGAGATATTTCGCTGTCTCTCTATCGCTCTCTCTCGAAAAAAAAGTCTAAAGCGTAAAAGTCTCTCCGAGGTCAAATCCATGTGCATAGAGTTCACGATTTTGCAAAAAAGTTTTTTATTGCATCAAAAGATTAATTCGTATTTACAGTAGCTTGGTAGGTACATTTTCCACAGGTAGTGGCTGCCATTTGTAGCATCTAGTATTTGTCCATTTTGCGGTCAGCCTCGCGGGCTTTGTCGTGGGCCCAGTCCTTCACGTCCTCCTTCTGAAATTGCGGGATAATTTCCGATTAAAAGGCTGATAGGTCAGATTCTAAAGACTTTACAAGGCTACAAACTACTACAAAATTAGAGTAACCCCTTCGCTAAGACACGAACCTTATCATGAGCCTTGTCCTTGACATCCTCCCAGGCGCTCTTGGCCGAATCCTTGGCCCGTTCCTCGTGGGACATTCCCGTCCAGTCGGCAACCTTGTCCTTCACCTGAAAAAGCATCAGAATGTAATTTGTAATATTCGGAATACAAGAAAATTCAAGTTTTCTAAGGATAACTGACCGCCTCGGCGGCATTCTCGACGGCGTCCTTGGTCTTCTCGATGATTCCGGGCATTTTGATTGCGTTGGTTGGGTGTTGATTTCTGGAATCGATGAGATAAAAGTTGCGCTTAATTGAAGAGAGCTTTATAGCGATAATTGAAGACGCAGTCCGAAATTAAAAAAGGAAGTCAGCGAAGCTAAAAAAATCAAAGCAGGCCCAAGTTAAAAGACGCCGAGCAGATGTAACCAAAAAAATGCGAAAGTAAGGGTCGCCTAGAAAATTACTCTACCTCCACCTAAGACATTTTAGAGCGGGTCGAGGAAGCCGTCTAATCGAGCTGAAGCCTAGCTAAGCTGAAACAAAAGTGAGGAAGGCCTAGGCCAAGCTGACCGAAGTTAAAGCTAAAATCGAGCCATAGATATGCTTAGGCTTCAAGTCGAGGCCAAGCAGAGCTAAAGCGCAGGCTTTCTCTCAGGCTGAAGCCTAAGCCAAATTGAAGAAAAAGCTAAGATAACCTAAGCCAAAGCCGAACTTAAGCCTAAGCTAGCTAACGTTGAGGCCAAGCTCAAACCTAGCCAAGTTCGACTGTAGGCCCCAAAAGTCAGCTTCAAAAACTGAAAGCCAGCTAAGTAAGCTTAAAATCCAAGTAGCTGAAGCTGATGAAGCTGCCGGATGCCTTCCCATCCTCATCCTCCACCTTATATAAAGCCCCTGTTTTGGGTAAATGGCGTGTAAGTGCAAGTGTCCCTGCCGGAGATCAACACTTTCCTCCCACCTTTCAGACGATCAGAAACATATCGTTTCCCTCCCTCTTTCTCTCTCTCGCCCTCTGTCTCGCGCTCTCTCTCGCTCGCTTTCGATAAAAAACATGTCTCCATTACAACGTCTTCGTCTCGAGATCAAAAAAATATTTTTGACGCTGCGGCGGGTCCAAAAACAGATATGGTGCTGAATTGATGAGGTTGGAGGTGGGCGGAAGACTGTCTGGAATAACAGTTTTTTCGGTGAGGTGGAGTTGAGTGTAGTTTTAGACACACTAAGCTGAAGTCGAACAAGCCAAAGTCTAAACGCAGGCGAAGCTTACTAAGCCTGAACTGAAGTCAAGGCCTAAGCTTCAGTGTAAACACGAACCTAAGCCTAAGATTAAACCGAAGCCTACCCCTAGCCCAGACCTAGGCCTAGGCCTAAACTTAAACCAAAGCTTAAACCGAAGCCTAAGCCTAACTTTGCCGTCCCTAGTCCAACAACCTACTCATAAGCCTAGCCCAGGCGCAAGCCGGAGCCTAAGCCTGAGCTGAAGCCTAATCGTAAGCCTAAGCCGGAACCTATGTCACCATCCCTTTAAAATCTTATTTACCTCCCTAGATTCAAACCCCGGCTCCCAATGGTACACGTGCACTTCCGCTCAGCACCCAGCATTGGCAGGGTGCCACCCAACATGACTCATCGCCTACTAGCGGGCAATGGGTGCATGTTGTTTATGGAAATTTACCCCGGATCGTGTACATGTTTTGGGTGACGCAAATATTGTCTAATTTTTGGCGGTTTTGCGAAGTCGGATGGGAGAAACAGAGATCACTAAAGCGGGAAGCTGACGAAAGTTCTAAGTCTGTAAAATAGGGGATTCTTGCGCAATAATTACAGGCGGAGAGGTGGCCCTACGTTTCGTCGCATCCTGGATTTAGTAGTTTCGGGGAAAAATACGGCTTGCCATTTGGATCCGTTTGCCATTTTTAATGCCATAAATTCGGTCCGAATTTTGTATTAACAAGTATTTGGGCATTTTTTGAAGCGTTGCACGATGGAGCAAGCCTAATCGATGTGCGTTAAGATTTCACGACATTTTTGGGTGCCTTAACATGCGTATCTTTGCAGGTAGTTTTCTTGGAGGTTCTTTTTGAGGTGCTCTTTAGCTAGTTTTCAAGCTGGTTTACCCGAGTTTATCCAACAGCTTGTAGGCACAATTGAAAATGCCGGAAACTTCAAACCCAATTTGAACGCATTCCGCTAGTAGCAAATACAGTTATTATAAAGCGCGAAGCGTGAGGTACCTTTTTTATACTCCCTTAAATCTGCCGCTGCTACTCATTTTGCGCCGGAGCTTGAGCAGATTGGCTTGAGCTTGGTTTAAGGGGCTCAACGTGGGCTTGTACTCGGGTTTGCCTCTTGGCTCGAGGCTACGTCACAAGGCCAGCTTCGACCGTCTCCAGTTGTTGTTTATGCAAATCCACGGCAGACGCTGTTTTTGAGGACTGGGGTGCCCCAATAACATGGTGGCAGCTGGGGGCGGAGTCTGCCGGGGCGCAAAACACCACAACATCCACGGTATAAAGTGGCGGACTGGGGGGAGGGAAAAGCATCCACTGCGTTCTCCACCACCTCTTGGGAACAAGCTTTCTCTGGAGCTATTTAGTTACATTTTTTAGTTTTTCGAGTTTCTTAGGGGCCTTTGGCTTCGTTGAATCCTTACTTGTTTTTTCAAAACTGAACGCTTCATAAGTTTCTTAAGCGCCTTTAGCTTTCTTAAAAACGCAATTAGCATGGGAAAATTGATAATTTCATATATTTTTAAGTTTGTAAAGTTTGGTTGAAGTCGAGTTTTGAAGCATGAAATATTCGAACAGTTTATTAGCTTCTTAGGCCTCCTAAGCACTAGCGCAGCCCGTTACAGCTTTGACTACGTTATGCCATAATTTTCGCAATACCCTTTTGCGAAGACTTTCAAAACAAAAAGGAACTTTAGCTCCGCTAGTCCTAAATCTAAGCCTATTTCTAAGCCTAAGCCTATCCCTATGCCTAAGCCTAGGCATGAACCTAAGACTAAGCCTAAACCCAAGCCTAAGCCTAAGCCCAAACCTAAACACAGTTCTGTAAAATTTTTAACTTTTTGCGAAGATTCTAAAGCAGCCAAAATTCCAACTCCTGGAGTTAGCCAGTATAACAAGCTGCCCCTTAACTTTATTTGTTTTTTTCTTTCTCAATTTCCATTATCATTTAATTTTTTTGATTAAATTTTAGCATTCATTTTTACCAGGTCATTATTATTATTATTATTACATTCCAGAAATCAACCACCAACCAACGCAATCAAAATGCCCGGAATCATCGAGAAGACCAAGGACGCCGTCGAGAATGCCGCCGAGGCAGTGAGTTGTCCTTAAAAAACTTGAATTTTCTTGTATTCCGAATATTACAAATTACATTTCAATCCAATTTCAGGTGAAGGACAAGGTGGCCGACTGGACGGGAATGTCCCACGAGGAACGGGCCAAGGATTCGGCCAAGAGCGCCTGGGAGGATGTCAAGGACAAGGCTCATGACAAGGTTCGTATTTTAGATAGGGGTTACTCTAATTTTGTAGTAGTTTGTATAGCTTCAGACTCTAACCTCTGAGCCTCTTAGTCCGAAATTATCCCACTAATTTCAGAAGGAGGACGTGAAGGACTGGGCCCACGACAAGACCCGCGAGGCTGACCGCAAAATGGACAAATACTAAACGCGACAAATGACACCCGCGACCTGTGGATAATGTACCTACCAACCTACTGTAAATACGAATTAATCTTTTGCTGCAATAATCAATTTTTTGGAAAGATTGTGAAGTTTACGAATAAGAATTTCACCTTGGGGAGACAAAAAGAGAGAGAGCGAGAGAATGAGAGAGAGAGAGAGAGAGAGAGAGACAGAAATTCAAAGAAATAGAGAGCGAGTGAGAGCGTGAGAGGGAGTGAGCGAGGGAGAGAGAAATAGAGAGAGGTAGAGAGAGCGAGAGAGAGAGAGAGAAAGCGCGAGGGAGTGTGAGATAGAGGGTGAGAGGGAGAGAGCATGATAGAGAGCGCGCGTTTGAAGTCGATTTTGCATCTTTGGTGTTTGCAATCAGAAGCTCAAAGATTTTTATTTGTAAAAGAATCCCAATATTGTACAGACAAGTGGCAAGAAAAAGGCGGAACAGCGGGCGTCTTTTTAGGTATTCAAATTTAGCGGTGAACATGGGGCACATGCGTGGTGGTGGTTATGGTAGGGCGGCTGTGTTTAGGGGCAGTGACACGGGGACGGGTCACTCCATGCGGCTTTGTCACCCTGGGGCGAGTGACGTGGGGTACGGTCGGACGAGTGATCCTAGAGACGGGCCTGATGGAGGGGCGGGTAATGTGGGGTACGGTAGCGGATGGGCGGGTTACGGTAGGACGGGTGACTTTTGGGGTGGAGATTGAGGGCCGCGTGACGGTGGGACGGGTAACGTGGGATACGGTAACGGACGGGCGGGTTACGGTAGGCTTGGTAGGGCGTGTAATGTTGCTAGGAACGGTGACTTTCGGAGTCCTGTCGGTGGGCATGGAGGGGCGAGTGAAATTTCCGGGCACCGGATACTTGGATGACATTGTCGGGCGAGTCGCACGGCTGGGTATGGTGGGAACCGCTGAAATTTGGTTTTAACTTAGACAAAACTTCATAGAAAATTGCATTTAAAAATTGACCGAGGTTACCACAAATTTTTTAGTCTATTGTGGTTTGTCCAGCCTTTTTTGGGCCAGAAATTAATTTTGAAAAATCACAAAAATGCCCAGCGTTCATAAAAAATTGGTGAAACTTTTGTAGTACTTTCGGAACAGCTAGATTTATATTTGAAAATTCACAAAAAGTTTAATCAGCCTTTTAAAATTTGTTTTCACTTTCAGACGATACCGAAAAATTTTGATAAATTTAATAAAAATGGCATTTTTCCGGGATTTTCCTTCTTTTTTTAACGTTTTTAAAATTAATTTTTATGTCGCTTAGTTGAACAAGTTTTGCTACTCCTTAAACCATTTTATAGTTAGCAGTGAATCGCTTATTACAGCTATTTTCCGCGTAAGTTTAACTCCTAAAACTCACTAGCCCACGCAGTAGCCAAAAGGCAAGCGGAAGCGATGAAGAATTTCTAAAGAATAGTGTTGGATGCTTTACGTAAATTTTACCATGCTCAGGAATAGAAGCCGACAAAGTCAGGGAAGTCAATAAACCAACTCGAACCAAGCCAAGCTCGATGCAAATCCCGGATTTTTCCAGGCTTTTATAGGGCACGCCGGCTCTGGGTTGGTCTCGATTATCGCCCCCAAATAACACCCCAAAAATAATATTATTTGTCCAAGCTGACCGCAGTCAATGTGCTGTCCTTTTTTGTGCGTTTCGCTTATGCCCCCAACTCGTCGACGGTCGGCTGAAATTAAAAAATTATTTTGTTGCCCTTTCGGTGGATGGGGTGTCCCCAAAATATTTTGTGATTTTTCGAGTGACAGTTTTGTTATGGCTACTGGTAGTCAACCAGGATCAGTGAAGAGGTTATTTCGTCCAACTTGCCGAGCTCGAAAAATGTGTAAATTGAATAAACAGATGATACGACCAAAATTTGAATAATAACAATGTCGACATTTCGAAAATCCCGACAAATGATTCAGGACTATCATTACAAAAATGCTGATGAATTGATCTCCAGATTTTCTTTTGCAGCGGTCACTCTTTCTCACTCTCTTTATCTGTATTTTCTTCCGCCTTTTTCTAGCTTTCTCTCTGCTCCTCTCTTTCTCTCTCTCTCTCTCTCTCTCTCTCTCTCTCTCTCTCTCTCGCTCTCTCTATCTCTATCTCTCTCTCTCTCTCTCTTTCGCTCCATCTCCCGATCGCTCGTCGCTCGTCGCTCTCTTATCTCTCTCTCTCTCTTTCTCTCTCTCTCTCTCTCTCTCTCTCTCTCTCTGTATCTCTGTCTCCTCTATCTCCCTCTCTCGTTCACTCCTGCTCAAGCAATAACCGCTGCAATAAAAGTCTCTGATAATTGACATTTATTACGCGTTTCGTACCCCAAAAGTACCCGTATCAGAATTACCACACCCAAGAAATCATCACCATAAAAATGGCAAAAATTGACCCGCAAACCAAGTTTGAGCTTTTCGTGGTAGTCACCGTTGGTGGTGCATTGGTTGTTGCTCCCGGCGCATCGCTTGGATTTGTCTCGATGTATGCGAGGAAATTAGCATCCTTTGAGTAGGGCTGGAAGAAGAGCTGAAAACAACAACATTATGAAGATTTCCGCTTCTTGAAGAACATAAAAATTTGAAAAGACGAACCGCAAAGTAGCCGCACTCCATCTGAGCCAAAGCAGTGGTCAAGTTCATGCTAAAATAATGGGCTTGCCAGGTGCATCCGTTAAATGATCTCTCGGTCTCTGTCTTTCTCTTTGTCTCTCTCGCTCTCTCGCTCTCTCTCTCTCTATCTCTCTCCCTTTCTCTCTCAGTCTCTCTCTCTCTTTCTCTCTTTCTTTCGCCACTTACTACTGGTAAAATAACCCATCCTTGTACGCCTCTAACCGTGCCGGCGGGTTACCCGGATTAAACTCGTTGACAAAGACCTTCACTTGCGTCCGGTTCCAGTTTCTCACTAAAAATCGTTATAAAACCGAGCTGGAGATGTGTACTGACCAGATGAATCTATGTGCCACTCAAAAAAGATGACATCCAGCTCATTTCCACGGCCATCCAGGGTATAGGGGTAGTTTCGACTGCTGATGAACATCGACCTCGAGCTTGTCTTGGAGTTGATGTTACCGGTGCCGTTGGTTTCTAAGATTTTTTTCTCATTGTAGCTCGTTCTGGCTATCTCTCTCCTGCCTCTCTCTATCTCGCTTATTCCCTCCTATTTCGCTCTCTCTTTCTCCCTCACCCGCTCTCTCCCGCTCGCTCTCTCTCTTACTCTCTTACTCTCTCTTTCTCTCTCTCTCTCTCTCTCTCTCTCTCTCTCTCTCTTTCACCCGAAGAACCCACTAGGCGACAAGTCCTTTAGCATGACGTTGATAGAACAGTTTGCCGGGATCACCAACGTTATTGCCGACTCGAACATTGGGTTCAGCGTGCTGAATCGGGCCGGGCTGTCTTTGCTACAAATTATCAAACATTTTTTAGCTACAAAAAGTATATTTACTCATATTGGTACATGAAATACGGCTGCCATGTGGTCATCGGGGGGTAGCCACCGGAGTACAGGTTATACTCGCAGTAGTTGTAGACCTAGATCGTTGGCTTCAACGAGAGAAAGAGAGAGAGAGAGAGAGAGAGAGAGAGAGAGAGAGAGAGAGAGAGAGAGCAGAAATAATGAGGTGGAGAAAGAAAGAATACTTACATCTCCCGATGGATACACCATAATGGCCGGTTTTTCGATCGATGGATCGGCAACGTGCGTGATTACGGTAGGTCGGTTTGGATCCGCCTGAAGAAAGGTATTTTAGTACTGTTGAAGCCAAAACAGGCTACAATAGATTTAACCGATACCAACCGTCATGGTATAAGAGTAGTACTCATATTGTGCTGCCGGCGGCACGAACACCACCCGTTTTTGTGACTTGTCGACGAAGGCGGCTGGAAAAATGGTTTGGTCTATGGCTGCGTGCTGCGTTGCGTGCTGCGCCGTGCCGCGTTGCGTGCCGCGATGCATAACGCGTGGCGTGTAGTGTTGCGTGCCGTTACGTGTCGCGCTACGTGCCGCGTTGCGTGCGACGATGCGCGTTACTTTAGTAGTCGCGTTGTATACGAAACCCCTTCCCCCATGTGCTTCCAGATTTTCGAAATTTCGGCATTTTTCGCCGGATTTTCGGTATTTTTCATGCAGAATCGGCTGAAGCGCTTAACAACCATAACTTACTCTCGTTATCAGGAACATATCGGAATACGAGTGCAAAGTCCCAAGACGTTCCGGCAACCGGGTCGACGCTGATGTCACCCACCAGGTACAAGTCCTGTGTTCCGTTCAGGTTTTTGGAACTAAATTGAACTGTAGTCAATAATTTCTAGTATATAATTTGTAAATTTAAACTTCTACTAAAAACCGGCCAGACTTACTTGATCACCCTTCCGTCCGGTGTCTTCAGGTTGAAATTCGTGTCATTTTGCGCGCCATCTATGAAGCCGTGCTGCACGAGTGTACTGCAGTTGGAGCAAGTTTTAATATTGACGGTCTAGATGTTAAAAAATTAATTAACGCCAGAAATTGAAACCTGAAAATTCTTCAACTCGTTGCCACGCAACACGTAATTTGAATCCTTTTGGGTGAGCTGGATGTCGATGGCATAGATTGAGGCTGGAATTTCAAGGTTTTTCTAGGATCCGTTAACTTTGGAGGCATAAGGCAGACTTTTCCAGGCAAACTAGCAGAGATCTTTGATGATTTTGGGTTACCTTGAGCAAAACACCAAAACCTAGGCTGGCGTCAAGAAATATTTCTACAGACTGCAGGCCGGCAGAAGCTAGCAGGAATTTCGAAACGACTTCAAAAAAATCGCCAAAAAATTAAACAAATTACTGCATTTATTTTACATTCCAAACTTACCAATACAAAGTAACGCAATCAGCAATCGCATTTTGGAAAGGCGAACACCCGTAACCCAGGCAGTGCAGTTGGACCCGGCGCGCCAGGCCCTTAAAATCGAGGCTTGAAACGGCCGTTATCTTCCCCACGCAAAAATTCATGATGACGTGTGGGCGTTTGCCGAGTGATGAGGCATCTTTCATATATCTCTCTTTCTCGCTCTCTCTCTCTCCCGCTCTCTCTCACCACCTTTCTCTCTCCCTCGGCCAGACAGCTTTTTGCCTACGCATGACTGGAAAAACGGCACAGTCTCAAAAGTTGCCATTAAATTTTGAAGCTAAGGTCGTGATTCATCAAATTCAGCATTGAACGGTCATGCGCACGCAATTTTAAGAGTACTACGTTTGTACCTGCCCTGCTCGCAATATTGAAGAATTAGAAGGAGGGCAGGTTATAGGCGCCAGAATTCAACCATCTTCTGCGAGCGCTATCTCTCTCTGCCCCTCGCTCTCTCACGTTCTCCCTCTCGGTTTTTCGCTCTCTCTCTCTCTCTCTCTCTCTCTCTCTCTCTCTCTCTCGGTTGTATGGTTGGACACAAAGCAATTTATTCAACGAACCAAATAACAAAACACAGCAACAACCAATGCAAGGAAATTTCGCGACGATACTCCGGAGGTCTCGAACCGGATCAGGAACTGGTCGGCGAGACTGACCGGGTAGAATTTGACCTAAAAATTGCGATGCCTTCAGATATTAATCGGAATTCATACCGCAAAGCTGCTGCCCTTGTCGCTGACGACGTCATTCGACACGGGATTTTTGTAGCTGAAAAATATTGAACATCGAGGGGGGGGGAAGAGCGAGAGAGAGAGAGACAGAGAGAGAGAACTGAAAACCTACGTATCGGTCAGCTTGTCATTATAATAAAGCTGTAGCTGCGCCTTGTTTGTGGCGGGCAGGAAGTTGACGACCGTGATTTTTGCCTTTGTCTTTCCGGCGTCTTTGACTAAAAACAATTTGTTTTTATGTGTTAACTTAGGTGGAAAGTATCGATTTTCGAGATTTTTTGAGCTCAAAATCGCCTGATGCTTGCGAAAATTCCCATAACAACCCACTGGAGCTGTCGACGGTCCACTTCACGCTGGCAACCTGATTCTGATTACCATCAAGATACCAGGAATTTGGATAATTTCGGCTCATCAGAAACCCGACTCGGTTCTGCGTCTTCATCGTCACCTGGGCGTTCCCGTAGTTGAAGGCTGAAAGAGAGAGTTAGAGTTTTCTAGCTCGTGCCTTAAAATTCAGAAGTTCAAAGAAGAAATGGTAAAAATTTAGGACAAAATTGCGCAGACGTTCGGAACTCACATCGCATGCTGCGGGCGCGACGCCTGAAACCCGTGGTCATAGCATTACGCGATGGAAAGGCGCTTCCGAATTACTTGTGCCACATGGTTCAGAAAAGGGGGGCCCCATGGGTACACCATGGGGGAGCGCAGACACATGGGCAGGCACCCCGGGGGCGGCCAATGGTGGTTGGGGCACGCTTTAGGCGGCGACCGGCGGCCAAAAGAGGCTGGAGGCGGCCAGGCACGCCTCCAGTCACGCCAGCACGCAGAGAACAGAGAGGGTCTCTGGGCTCTCCACCCCCCGCGCACTCTCTAGCCTCTCCCCATCCTGTCCCCGCCCGACGAACATTTTTCTTAGGGCTCTGAACGCTGTGATGCGCGTCTTGCCCCCCCGCCCCTCAATAGCTAATTTGGGTATTCATAGCTTGTTTTGCAAATCCATAGGGGTGCCTTGCGAGTTCCTTTAAAACCGACTGTTTGTCAAATCGCTCACGGCAAACTCGGCGGCACACCCCTTGCTGACGACGATCGTCGCCGCGTACGCGGGAATCGGATTGACGGAGAGCCTGCCGCTGTTTTGGGGCCTAGAAGGTAACTATGTACACCGGGAATTAACAATCAACAACCAAATAACAAGCGTTTTAATGCTTATTAAAATCAGGATCTACCAATTCTGTGGCAAAAACCACCCACGTGTAGCGCAACAGCGAATATTTCGACTGCCCGATTTGGCTCGGCTCACCATGCGAGTACAGGTCGTAGTTGCAGCTGCCGGAGAGCTGAATACCGGTTTAGGCTTAGGCTTAGGCTTAGGCTTAGGCTCGGGCTCATCTTTAGGCATGGCCTGGGGTTAGGTAGGCTTGGGTTTGGGCTTAGGTTCCGGCTTAGGCTTGGGTTTGGGCTTAGGTTAAGGCTTAGGTAATACGCTCTCAATGCCACTTACCGAATTCAGCGGTGCAATTTGCATAATTGGATTGGGTTGACCGGCGGGTGCGGCAAACGTGACGATGGTGGGATAAGTGTTGATAGTACCCTAGATTCCATTGGACACACTTTGTCGCATCGACCTACGGTAACCCGGATCGAAGTCTTGTTCGCACCGAGCGGTACCGGCACCAGCGCTTTCGGGGAGTTGCTGATGGCGGTTGCTAAAATTTAAATTGATAGTGGACTGCCTTCGCGACGACACGCGTTCTTTCCTTAAAAACCAACTCTCGTCCGCCGAATAATAACGGAAGTGGACGTAGAAATCGCCGGTCGCGGCGCCGCAGTTAATTGTAATCTGGCCGGTGAGCAGCGACACGGAGGTGGTCATTATCTGGGTGCTTAAAAATGGATTTTTGTATTCTGGCCGCACTTTGGCTACGGTGGTACTGGACCGCTACGGGGGGGTTAACACGTGGAAAACCACTTTGTGTTTTTCCATCAGTAGTGAATATAGCGTATTTTAGTATTTTTGATGGCAAGAAAGGGAGAAAAATATTCGAAAAAGTTGAGCTTTTGAGGTGTTTTGAAGCCTAAGCCTGATCCCAAACCTAACCCTAACTATGCTGACCTTGTAAGCGAGAGCCTGAGCCTGAACCTAAGCCTCAACGGTTTCTATCCCTCGCACTAACCTCTTCTGAAAACCCATGGCCGTAATCAGACAATTGGTGTTCAACGGCGACCCGGGGAACGTGATCACCATGTACGCGCGGCAATTCACGTTGTTCAGGCAGGTCGAGTTATGGATGTAGGTGAGCTAAAAGGAAGTTGCTGGAAATTTTCAGAACATGTAGTCAAGACGAGACTTTTCCTAGCACTGAAAAACCTGGTGACGACGAAGAAGGAGCAATAAAAAGGAATGAAGAAGCCAATGTGCGACTTTGTGAATAACAAAGTCCAGGTCTATCTTTCCAAACTTTAAATTTCACCTGATTTGCAACAAGTTGCCGGCTGTTTGCCACAAACGAGGCATCAATGCCGGTGAGAGGAATGTAGGCGACGGCGCTGGAAAGACCTGAAACAACGCTTTAACGTCCTGATTCGTTCACGTACTCAACGATCTTTGGCTTGGACCTGGCTTAAGCGTCGGCTTAGGCTTCGGCTTCAGTTTAGGCTGGGGCCTAGGCTTAGGCTTAAATTTAAGCTAGGCTTAGGCTTGGCTTTTAGACTTTGGATTAAACTTAAGCTAAGCTTAGGGTAAGGCTGGAGCTTAAGCTTAAGCTTAGGCTTAAGTATGCAAAGCCAAGCCTTCAATGCCTACGGATTATGTTAAGAATCACACTTTCCAGAATCAAGGCCTTAAATCGACTAGGTATGGACTCTTATCAGCTCAAATTAAGATCCATACTTTTCCGTTTTTCTTACGTTTTATTCAGGATGTTGCGTCGATGCATGGAACGCATAAAAACGCAATTTTTAGAATTTAAACCGTTGCTTTTGATATGGCAAAAACCGGCTTTTGTCGTTATAAAACCTACCAAAAACCGTCGCAAATATCAATAAACTCGAGGCAAACGCCATGCTGCTAGACCTCTGCTAGTCGGTCGCTAACCTGGCGGAGTGCAGCGGGAAAATTTGGCCTGAGCCGATTTTACGGCTTTCGGCTTTATCGCAGAAATTGTCATGCGGTGTGGAGGCGGTGTTGTCGAATTACGGGACCCTTATCTTAAGTGTATTTTTGAGCAAATGACTAACAAAGCGATGTTTTTTGCTCGGAAAAGCTGAAGCAGATACGTATCGCCGCATCGCAACAGTCAGAAAATTTGAGGCCTAGAGTCAGGGAATCGTGAACAGTCAACATTGAGCCCAGGCCTAGGCTTGAATTCGGCTTGGGCGTGGCTCATGCTTAAGTGTATTTGGCGTATTTTGGCCTCAGCTTAAGCTTGGCTTAAGTTTGGGCTCAGGCTTGACTTAGGCCTGGCTTAGGCCTGGCTTAGGTTCGGCTTGGGTTTGGCTTAGGCTTGGCTTAGGCGTTGTTTGAGCTTAGCCTTAGGTTTGGCTTGGGATCAGGCTTGGGATTAGGTTTGGGCCGAGGCCTAGGGGAAGACCTGGGCTTAGGCCTGCCTTAGGCTTCGGCTTCGGCTTGTGCCTGGGCCTGGCCTAGGCATGGCTTCGCCTTAAGCTTCGGCTTAGGCTTAGGCTTAGACTTGGGCGTAAGCTTGAGCTTGCTCTTTGGCCATGCGTAGGTTTACCCGGCAGTGTACTTGCTTTTCCCGGACATGCCGAAAACGTCTCATGCAAAAACGCCTACCTGCCATCCCGAAATGACACCTCGAGTTTCGTCCTGTAATTAGGGGGTGCAACGTAGCCTACAGAGCTTCTGCCCCCTGTTTTTCCCGGGGGCTAATTCCCGGATAAGGGGGGGGGGGGCCGTCCAGTTCATCTTGTTCGCATGCTCACCGGGTTCGATTACGGTGCACTTGGCGTCGAATTGATTATACTTTACCTCGCTTTGATTACGCTGAAGCGGCTGTTGAGGCAGAAGGTATGTGAATGTCTGAAGGAGCCGGGATCGCCAGATTCGGTTCTGGCGTTGAGTAGACCTCAAAGGCTACGTGATACACCAAACTTTTGGACCTTGTGTAGGCGCCTGATCTCGGAGACGGAATTCGGATACCTTTAAGGTCGTTGTTTAAGGAGAAAACTCCCATCTGCTATGCAAATCGTGTGCTCATCGTTGCTGATCTGGCAAACCTGATCTCCCGCGGGCTCCACGACGGCCTCGACAAATTCTTTGAGGATGAAGTATTTGGTAAGGATGCCAGCGCATAAAATCCGCACGCTGTAATACAAAGTAGCCAGTCTTTTTAGGCTCCTTCGGTGCTTCCATCTTCCTTTTCGGGATTACCTGGCGCTACGCGATCGCGCTCTATATGTTCTTCCTGATTTCCGTGCTCCATTTGATGGCCATCCATCGACCGACCGCCTATCGTAATATCGATTTTCCACGTGCCATGCTTGCCATTTGTCTTACTCTTGCTGCCGCGCTGGGTAAGCATTTTTACTCCGGCGTATATTTTCTCTACAAGCCTGGGATCAGATTTTCTTTATAGCACTTCCGGGTATTACAATTAAGACGAAAAAGACAAAAATAAATTTTTTGAGCAAATACGGTTTAAAGTCCGTCAGAACGATGAAATTCCGTTGAGAGCAAGAAAGTTGCGCACCGGGCGGGGGTCGAACCCGCGATGGTTCGCTCCACAGTCCGACCCGCTAGCCACTATACCACAGGGCCAAGTGGGGAAGGGAGTCAGAGGCGCCCCAAATCCCAGAGGGCCTTTGCCCAATACGGGGCATTACTAATGACGCCTCTGTCCGCGCGTTCTTGGGGGGTGCACCCGCGGGGTGACAGTGTGCGTTCCAGAGTTCTAGCAGTCTTTAAACCGTCATTTCCAGCCCACGCATCGAATAACTTCTTCGGATGTGCCTGTCTCTCCTATAATATAGCCACCCAAAGCTATACCATTCTGCCGGTTAACTTTCAGATGCAAATCGTTGTCGATGTCTGGGACAAGATTGTCAAGGTAATCTAGCCCATATTAAAGGTACATTCCGCGTTCGTTAAAAGCTCAGGCCGGCCGCCAGAATTCGGCTGTCCGGTGGCCGCTACCTCCGACCTCTCTATCCCTGCGCCCCCTCCCCTCTCCCATCTATCCTATGGCCGAGTGGTCTGAAGCGCTTGCCCCAGGCGAGCGCCCGGGTCTTGTTTTGCTCGACTTTTAGCACCTACCGGTAACCCGGCATTCTAAAACACAATTTGTCTAAGATCTTGGACCATTCAAAAGAGAGCGGACTGTACCGTTAATTGTACGTACCGTTTTTAATAGGCCGCCATGATCACCCTACTGATCATCACCGACTTTCTGATCGTGCACAAGTGGTACAGCATCAAAATCGCTCGCAATGCTGCTAGAAGAGCCGCGAAAATCTCGACTGAAGGTAAATAATCTTAAGAAATTTAATTTCACGATCGGATCATATCCTTCATGTACAAGGTGTGCCAATCAAAAAAAAACACCCTCCTTTAACTCGACGCAGTATAGGATCGGAATGGCAGTTACAGCATTCGAAAGCCCTTCAAACGACGAGTTTGCCAAACTTTTCAATACGAGGTTTTTATTTGAAAGCTCTAGTTTAGGACGCATTTCAAACATCAGGGAACGGCCTCTGCATCTAATTAACGGCTCCTTCCGGTCATTTTTCTTGGAGAAAATGAGGCGAATTAGCTCGCGACCTCCTCACCTCCTCCTCGAAACCTCGAAAAACCGCAAAATTTTGCAAAGTGGCTTGTATAATAGGGCATCTAAATAAAAACATCGTTTTGAAGACTGCTGCAAACTTGTTGCAACGGCTTTCGAATGGTATAAGTATGATTCGGATCCGATAATTCTGCGTCGAGTTAAAGGGGGTGATGTATAAAATTTCAATTTAGCCTCGCTACCCGGGCAGGCGTCGCCAAACGTCCTGGTACTTACTCAACCAAGGGTAGGTTTCGCGTTTTCAGACTTTCTTTCATGCCGTAGTTGCTGGTGGACCCCGTAATACCATTTTCTATATTATTCTATTCTATTCCATCCCCCATAATTCTGTATTGTCTACTGTTAATTCAGATTACCCCTTTAGAAAGCTACGACTGCGCTGGCGCTAGATAAACGACTAGCCCTCGGCTTCGTCTTTATCACCGTCGCCCTGATTTATAATGCGTTCGTTTTCCGACTGAACGCTCTGTAAGTTATTGATTTTTGTAGTACCTCGCAAGGAGTTACTTACACAAAGCCGATTTTCGTAATGCTGATTCACGTAATGCCGATTTTCGCAACAATGATTTCTCATGATGTTGATTTTCATAATGCCGATTCCATATAAAGCCGATTTTCATAACGCCGATTTTAGATAAAGCCTCGCAAGATTAATGCAGCACCACCGAAAAATTTGTTTTTAGGTTTCCGGCGGCAGCTCAACGATACCTCGCCCTAGTCGCCCTGTTCACGGAGTTGGGAAAGTGTACGATTTACGTGTTGATCGTCAGCGGGAAGGCGAGGAAGTGACTTAAAAAACTATCGATATGTTTCTGTTTTTCTTTCTCTCTCTCGCTCTCTCTCTCTCTATCTCTCTCGCTCTTCCTGCCTTTCTCGCTCTCTCTCTCTCTCTCTCTCTCTCTCTCTCTCTCTCTCTCTCTCTCTCTGTCCGTTGCTCTCTTTCTATCTCACATTATATCGCTCGCTATCTCTCTTTCTCTGTCTGTCTCTCTGTTTGTCTGTCTCTCTCTCGCTCTCTCTCGCTCGCTCCCTCTTTGTGCCTCTATCGATGTCTTCCTCGTATGTTTTAGTAAAGTTTTTATTCGACAAAATCCAGTATAAAAAAGGATACACCTGACATGCCGGGGACGCAAAGTGTGTTTATGTGTGTGCTGAAGGACGCAAAGATTTCCAGTACACAAAAATTCAAATGTGTTTTTTGTTCTAAACAGCTAGCACAATGATTTGATTCTAGCAATGGCGAGGGTGGAAAAATTTTAACGTAAAAAATCGATAAGAATCCATTACAAATTCAGCATAAAAAATAATAATGATATTACAACACGTTCGAAGCGGAGATGGGGCAAAGTCGTGAAAAACTGCGCAGGAACAAAAACAAATAAAGTAATTGGGCTGAAGTATGTAAATTCGCTAAATGGATGGAGGGGGAAAAGCTGACCGGAAATGCGGATAGATTCGGAACGGGGCAAAAATTGCGTTTAAAAAATTAAATTTAACTATTTCAGACCGGGACAACCTGTGGCGAAAATTCTAGGGGGGAAACTGAAGCGCGTGGGGCGTCACTCTAAATTATGCAAAAATCGGAAAAAACCTAGGGAATACCTCAAAAATCGCTGCCAAATGTGTTTTTTGTGGGAGAAGGTGGTCCGGAAATTTGCATTTTTTTTTGATTATTCATGGTCACAGCTGCCTAATTTGAAGGTGCGCGCGTGTGTGAAAATTGGTCTTGAGGGCAGTCTCTTAATAAAAATTAGCATACGAAAATAAATATCTATTTTTGTAGAACTCGGAAAAAATATGGGGTCGCTGCAGATCACAGGTAGAAAAATGTTCAATAACAAAAAAGATTTAGATGGTTTTGGGGATTCTAAAAATCTTTGGGTTTATGTTAATTAGGGCCCGCTCGGGTGGGGGGGTGGAAGTGACGGGGGGGTAGGGCACATTTTAAAGGGGCGTGGAAGGCAAAAAATGGCCGGCTTTGTTGTGGATTTTTGTGGTCACTCCAAAAAAATATTTTTGTTAATTTAAAGGTTTAATTTAGTTTAAAAACTGGTAATTCTTTAAAGACCCAAAATCCAAATTTTAAGGGCCTACTGAAGGCAAAATAATCCAATTTTTCGTATAAAAGTTATGGATTTCGCCTTCACTATCCCTTAAAAATCAGAATTTCGTTTTTTCAAGGACCGCAGAAGGCAAAAAATGTCAATAGATTTTTATAATCGTCTTTATAAAGCTTCAACACAAAAAAATTCACATTTTCAAGGACCACTAAAGGCAAAAATCAGCCAATCTCACCTCCCAAAACCCCCAAAAATGCGCATTCCGAAGCTGTACTATTTACACAATTGGCTAGGCTCAAGGTTGGCCAGGGAGAAAGAGGAGGAGACGACGACGACGATTTGGCATTTTGATCGCGATCATGTTAATTTAATGGGCTTTTAATAGCTTGATTTAATAGTCAGTGGCCGAGGTGGATGGCTGGGAGGAGGAGCCGCCACCGCCGGTCGAGCGATGGACATGTACGCACAGCCAACGGCCATTCCTACGCTGCCATACGCGTGATTCCTGGGACTGTCGTGTTCGGGCCTCGCCAGTTCTGGAAAGGTATCATTAATGCGTAAAAATCGGTTGGGTTGTAGGAAAAACATAAACCTTTATTAAATAGAAATTTTTTTATCCCGAATTAAATGGGAATGCCTAGGGACAATGAACGGGAATTAAGGTATCGTATCTTAGCGTAGCTTAACTTATTTTTTTATTGAGGCTACTTACCTGTCGATATACTGCGTCAGTCGTACGTAGGCAATGCACGCCCCGTCATCCCCCATCACGTGCACGTTCGGGTTGAGCATCGTCGTGTGGAGACCGCCCTTTCGGACACCCGCTGAGTTGTCTAAAAAGTTTTTGATTGAGTAATTCGTGTTCTCTCTCTTTCTCTCATCCGCTCTCGCACTCTCTCTCTCTCTCTCTCTCTCTCTCTCTCTCTCTCTCTTTCTCTCATCCTCTCTCGCACTCTCCCTCTCTCTCTCTCTCTCTCTCTCTCTCTCTCTTTCTGTTTCTCTCTCTCTGGCTCCCTTGATCTCTCTCTTTCTCTCTCCCACTCTCTCTTCCTCAGCTTGTAAAGTGGAACAGAACGTACTTGGGTCAAAGTAGAACCGGTGGAAGTCGATGCCCTCTATCAGGTTACCGAGCGTCTCCGGCTCGAAACACGTCATCCCCGGCTCGCATAGTTTCCTGAAAGGGATATGGTTTCGAGTGACATTTTTTAGATGACATGTGTAGAACGAACTACTGCTAAATGCCAAAATTAGCTTTTAAAAACAATAACATTTTGAGCTTTCAAGATTCTCGTTCCGTTAAGTTTCCGTCATAGTGAATAATTATCGATTTTCCTAATTCCTATATTAATTTTACGCATTTTGGTTATATTATTTTTCTCCCAACACTCACATATAAGCGTCCCAGTCCTTGCACGAGATGGCGTCGAGCAGTTGCTGGGTGACCCGGACGATTTCTTGCTTTTGCGCTGGAAAATGATTGATATTTTGAGGAAAAAGAGATATTTATGGTGTCTGGTCCGATTTTTGCCTTTTTCTAAATTTACCGGATCTGGGCGCTTTTCCTGCACTTACGGTTGAAATAATAGTATTTTCATGCACCCATGCAGACACACTCAAGAAAATAGACCTTAAACATTGCATGAAAAAAGTAAACCCTTTTTTTATAGAAAATACATTCTTCAATCCCTTGAGTAAAATTAATATTTGTAACTCAGGTAAAATAATACAAAAATGACATGAATGAAACTTAGTTACAGCTTGAAAAGGGCAAAACAAAATTAAAGTGAGGTTCGGTACTTTAGTAACATTTTCGGATTTTATAGGGAGCCAAAGCCTAAGCCTAAGTTTAAGCCTAAGCCTAAGCCTAACCCTAAGCCTAACCTAAGCCCAAGCCTGAGCTAAGCCTAAGCCTAACCCTAACCTAAGCCCAAGCCTGAACTTAAGCCTAAGCCTCGCCTAAACCTAAACCCACGTCTAAGCCTACACCTAAGCCTAAAACTAAGCCTGAGCCTAGACCTAGCCCCAGACCAAGCCAAAGCCTAAGCCGAAGCTTAAAGCTAACCTAAGCTTAAAGCTTAGCCTAAGCCCAAGCCCAAACCCACAATCGAGATCGTCGGCCATCGAATAGTTGACGACGCGACACTCATCCACCTTTGGGCCACTACCAAAAAGCCTAGCCAGCAAGTTGGGCATATGCGGGAATGAATTCCAGGTGGTCCCAAGACGACCGCCGGCTTTAGCGTGTTCACAGCAAAATTTTCGATTTTAAGGGAGGAGCGGTGGGGTGAGATGAAAGCGCTGGGCCTCGCGAAATTTATGCTGCCGATGGGACCCTGGGAATCGCGTGTGGGGGCTGGTTGACCGGATCTCCGGAGAATTTTTTAGCGGCTGCAAGGGATGGCTGGGGGCTAAATAGGCGCTCCGATAAATGATGTTGGCTCGTAAGGGGGGTGCGGGTGGAATTTTGGGGGATTTTGGATCCGGACTTGAGGGTCATTGAGGCGTCATTTTGTGGTAATTAAAAAAAGTGTAATTTCTTGGCGTTAGTCCAAATGTGCCCAAAACTACGTTATAAACTTTAATTTTTGAATCTCCGGAATTTTAAGTTTATAAAAACTACGTTAAAGGTGATAAGTTTCAACAATCAACGTTATACAAATTATGAAAGTTGTAGTTGTGGATGGAAAAGTGCAATTAAGCCTAATCTTGCATTTTATTTTTCGCATAAATTTGGTTTTTCGGAACGCCGATTTTTTAGGACAGAATCATATTAAGAGATATACGCCTATTTAGCTCATCTGTAGCTCATTTTTTTGAACTTAACGATTTTTTAAATGCTTGCAGCTATTGTACTGAAATCCATCAGAAATAGCTGCAAAAAATTACCTCGCTCCCACGGATCCATCAATAAAGTGTGGGGAGCGTGAGGTTGCGACGCTTTTAGGCCGGGGGGAAAAGGGAAGGAGCGTTCCTGGGGGCTGCCAAAAATTGCTGATAACCCCGCGTTTTATTACGAATTTACGTCAAGAGGAATGGAAGGGATCTTCGTACTTGCAGCGGTTGTTAAAGGCACTTTCTCTAGCTTTTTTTCTCTCTCGTTCTCTCTCTCTCTCTCTCTCTCTCTCTCTCTCTCTCGCTCTCTGCCTCAGGTTCTCTCTCTCGCTTTCTCTTTCTCGCTCGCTTTCTCTTTCTCTATCTCTCCCTCTCTCTCTCTCTCTCCCTCTCTCTCGCTCTCTCTCGCTCGCTCCTGCTCCTAGCAATTCCGTTCAATTTCCAGGGTTATACAAAACAAAAAAAAAAACAAAAAAATGCAAATCCCTTCCCACACACATTTCCCCCAAGGCATTCAACCAAATCCCCGAAAATTAATCTGGCTCGAAAAGGCTGAGAAACCTTGAAAAAAGCCGGAGACTACTTTCTATTGTTTTCCTCGATTTCTCTAGTTACCTGATGTCATTTTTGGCTGCCCGCCCCGGCCGGCAGCCGCAAAGTTTTGGCCGGGATTTCCTTCAGGTGAAACCCTATGGGAATTGGCGGCTAAAAAGAAGTGAGAATTCGAGTGGAAAGCACGAAATAAACAGGAGAAGTGGTGGTGTATCGTTGTGAAAGGGAATTAGAAGCTTGACCGGTATAAACTAGCAATAATAATACTGCATTGATAACCCGAATCTAAGCCTAAATCTTAATTTTATTTGAACGTAGGTAGTTTTCAAGTGGAATTTTAAGAAAGTGTTTTAAGAATTTCGAATTTTTAAGAATTTCGGGGGCTACAAATCGATACCCACCATTCCCAATAATCGTAGGCAAAATCGAGCCTGAAAATGGGTCCGAAATGGGGGGTCCCGGCTAGAAAAGGGGCGCCCCGCTGGGTTGGGTATGTGTTGGGTGCGGGGTCCCGGATGGGACAAGTTGTCGTGGTCTGGCCAAGCCCGATAGACAGCCGTTTAGGCGAGAGAGGGAGAGAGAGAGATATGGAGAAATGCAAAAAAGGTGCCTGAAACTCTGGCGGAAGAAGATTAATAGGAAGTTCGTTTTCCCCCAGCTTTACCGAGAGGACGAAAGTCTGGCGGGGTCCACCAGATTTATGACTTTTTGAGCAAGGAAATAGGCTATCAAAAATGCTATTACACCGTTCAAGGGATCTGGAAGATTTAATCGATGCGCCGGATTTCTATCGTTTTTCATGGATTTTTAATAGTTTGATTAATTTCATCGGACTTAAACCTTTTTTTAAGAAGAAATTAATACACACTGGAAATTTAATCTACGGAACTCCTCGGAAAAAGCGCTGAAACAAACCAAAAAAAGTTTAAAAATTTCGCCTAGTTTTTCAAACCAGTAAAGCGCAAGAAAACTACTTAAAATGCTCCTAAAAAGTCGCAAAAAAAGCCCTCGGAGCCGTTTTTCAAGGTTTCTGTTTCCAGAGTACCAATCGAAAACTTCTAGAAGAGGAAAACTATGCAACGTTTCTAGATTTTATATCGCTATCGGGAGAGCAAGGTTTCAAAGCCCGTCGAAACCGGTAAAACTTATTTGTCCCATGGCAATTCCTTTTAGAAAACCTAGACGAAGGTAAAAAGATGAAGCTCAATCAAAAAAATCAAGGCAAAATCCGCAAAAATCAATATACCCGGATCAACAAACAAGTGTTTCGAGCGCCGCAACCCGGGCGCTGCTAGCTGGTCAAACATGCCCCCGGAAGATCCACCCGGGAAAAGGGATCGGTGGGGACCTGCTGTTTGAGATTGGCAGCCGTGGAGTGAGTTTTGAGGGAAGTGTGCACCGGGGATTTAGAGAAGTCGATATGGGGGCCCGTTTTTCGGTGGGTCTCTGGAAAAAGAGGAGGAGAAGGGGAAGGAGGAGAAGAAGCAAGCAGCAGCCCACCCGGGGCTGCCATTTCAGCTCAGGAAAAGACCCAGAAGGACCCAGGATCCAAAAAGACCCCTAAAAGACCTAAAGCCGCTTTTTCCCCGGGCTTCTCCTTGACTCCCGCTGCCAAAAGGGCCTCATCTTTTCCCAATTTTGGACTAAGGGAAAAGTTGGGACCTTGATATCTGGCTCTCTCTCTCTCGCTCTCTCTCGCTCTCTTTCTCGCTCTCTCTATCCCTCTATCTCTATTTCTCTTTCCCTATCTCTAATGCCGTAAAAGTCCAGAAAACGAGGCTTCTCTCTACTACGGGCCTCGACCCCCCCCCCCAGGAAATTGAGTTTTCGAGGGCCTTTCGGGTGGAAATACGCTATTTTGGGCTTGGATTTAGCTTGTAAAAGCCGTAGTAAAATAGATTAAAAACCGAAAACTGATAATTAGAACCTGAAAAGGAAAAAAGTTTTTAAAAAGCAAAATCAAATTCAAAAGCTATGGAAAGTTCTCGAAATTGGATTCCATTTCTTTCCTACTGATTGGCACGTGGAAATTGATAAGATTACTTTACCCCGATTTTTCGGCTGCCGGGGAATCGTATCGCTTTGGAATTTTTGGGGGCGCCCAGAAAAACCCGAAAGTCCTTGAAAACGAGCAAATCAGACGGAGCCGGCAGGGCGGCAAATAGCAATTACTCGGCTAGGATTGGAAAACATTTTCGCGGAAACTATGGGATCTAAAGTCGAGAAATGTACAAAAGGGTACAGAATCGGGTGAAACCCTGAAAAATCAAGTTTTTGCGAACATTTAAGTTTCTTAAAATGTCGGCAAGGAATTTTTCAGGCATTTTTAATTATTTTCTGACTGTTTAGAACACAATAAAATGTTTAAAAGCCGGAAACTAAATCTGAATAGAAAAAACGAACGTAAAAATGTGTTATACACTTCAAAGACGAACTAAAAAATGCTTGCAGTGGGTGGTGGCGGTATGTTAGTCCACACATTAATAGGTTAGTTGAGGGTGGCAAGCACACACATTTAAATTTTGTGTTAATTTAATTAAAAAAACAACCTAAATTTCGAAAAAATTATTCTTCATTACAAAAAAGGTTCAGAGGTCAAGTAATTTTAGTAGAAAATTTGATTGAGTGCTGTGGGTGTAGCATGCCAAGAATGCAATCCAAAAACAAAATTCCCAAGCACAGCCCCCGGAGAAATCGGCGATTATTTCAGGGTTTTTTTGCCAATAGGCAAGCAATGGAAAAAAAGGGTGTGAATTAAGAGAAAGCAAGCTGGAATTCAACTGAAAAAATTTTAGATTAAGAGAAGTTCCTTATTTTTTTGCTGACACTGTATGCTGATTTTGGGCCATTTTCATAAGCTGAAGGAAAAAGCTAAATTCACGGCAAGCACCCGCCTAAACCATGCCCTTACACATGCGCTACCGTAGCACCGAAAGCGCCCAGGGATCCAGGGCAAAATAGGTCACGTTTGGCACTGGAAACCGAAAACGGGAAATGGCGGTTGGCTGATTTTGGGCAAATTTAGCTTAATGTCGCTTCAAATTAATCCTATAAGAGTCGTTTTTTGTAAAATTCCTTTAAAATGCTTAGAAAGCAAATTTATGGCTAGAAAACTCTGGTGTCACTGTTCCTTTAAACAAGAAAAAGGTTACTATTCCTGGCTGTCACCATCTCTTCGAAATAGGTGCCCTATCCCTTTAAAATAATCCAAGTCACAAAATCCTTACTGTCACCATCCCTTTAAAGTCCCAAAATTCACCAACCGCCATTTCCTCATTTCCGTTTGCAACGCGCCCAATGCGATAGTCCCGGAAAAAGCCCGCCCGCAAAAGCCATATATATGCTAATTACCTGGAAGCGCCTGGGTGAGCTTCTGGGCGGTGGCCGGCTGGTGATGTTGAGCAGCTACCGGTGAGGCCGTGTTGACACCGTCGGCGCGGACGACCGTGTTCTCGTGCTTGAGCAGCTGCTGCCCTGCCGCCCCGACGACTAGAGAGCACGGCCACATTAAGGGAAAGCGCCCAAGGTATCGTTTTTAAGGCACCGCCCGAGGGTAGGCCGCTGCGATTTGCGTATTGCAATTAGCATGTTTTGCATAGCGGTTTGGTGGCTTTTTGGAAAAGGGCAAAGGGGATGACTTCGAATTTTGAGAAGCAAAAAAAATATTGTGCTTTGACTAGGTTATGCTTAAGCCTAAGCGCGAGCCTTAGCCCAAGCCAAGCCTATGCCTAAACCTATGCCTAAGCCTAAGCCAAGCCTAAGCCTAAGCCATCCCCTTTGCCATTAAAACACCCGGAAACCCGAAAACTTGCCGTTATATGGCTAATCTTTAGCGTTGTTTATAGCATTTTTTTTCAGTATACCACATTTTAAAGCACGTGTTTCGTTAGCTGCTCTACATTATTAGCATATCTTTGCAACAGGAAGCACCCGATTTTAGTAGTTTTTAGTACTTATCACGCTTCTAATTTTCTAAGCAGCAGCTTTTAGGCTCGACTAGCTTGGCGGCGGTGCGCGCAAAAGCGAAAGCCAATTTGCATTTATTAAATCGTTAGTTTTGTATCAATTTCTATTTTTTTTTGCTTTGTCCACCGCAAACCGGTCATGGTTTCTTAAGCGCTATTTTGAATTCTCTATTTCTGGCTACAGCTAAAGTTAGCACGATTTTAATTTGCCAGAAACCATGACGCGACAGAAGATTTTGAGGAGCACACGGGTGCTATTTTTGATTTTTTTGAAGGTGTAAGGTCTGGGAAACTCAAGGAGATAGGCAGGGGAGGAGAAGTGGGTGTTGGAAGGTGAAAATTGTGCAAAGGGAGATGAAGCGGAGAAGAAAGGCGCGGAAATAGGAAGAAAAGAGGCGGGACACTGTGGTTTCTCTGTTTCTTAAGAAACTTAACACATTAAGTCATTTTCTGAACCAAAGAAAAAGCTAAACACTTACGAAAGTTTATTAAAGCAATGCGAAACCCAAATATTTCGGACTTTTCGATCTTTCTAAACTTATTTTGGTGCCAAATTAGTGCCAATTTTTAGAGTATTTTTTGCCGATTTAAATATTTGCGGAAAACGTTTCGATTCCAAAAAAAAACAAAGAATACTGTAGCTCTGCAAAAACCCTGCAATCCCTACTTCGAGTTTCTGTGAGAAGAAGTGTGAACACAGTGCGGTGGCGGGGGACAAAATCGAGGCAATGAAATCGAGAAATTCGGGGACTTCGGGGTAAACTATTTGAATTTTGAATTTAGGCCTAAATCTAAGGCATGGTAACTTAATAGTTTGTGGCAAAACATTGAAAGGCACTACAAAAAAATGCAAATTTTCGTTGTAGGATTTTTAGTTTCCAAAAAATGAGTAAATATTATAAAATTTAGGAAAAACGTTTCAAAACATCAAAAAATCCCGAGTTTCCCAATTAAATGGTCATCGATGCAAATTGAAAATTGCAAAAATCAGCAGAGAAAACAGGGTGCAAAATGGGGCGGGAAGGGAAAAGCTAAGAATGAGGAGGGGATAGCGGTTCGGGAGGAGCTTGATTTCCAGAGTTTTTCCAGTGTTTTTGGGCACAACATAAAATTTTGATAAGTGTGGAAAAACGCCGAAAAATTCAAATTTTTTTGTGTCTTTTTGCGGGTACGGTACATTTTTTTTTGGGCTGTGTTTCTGGGCGAACTCTTTATTTGTCTCCTCCCGAACACGAACGGAACAAAAAAACGGGGGGGGGGGGACGTTGCGAAAAGCGTGGGGAGAAGATGGAGGGACGGTAGTTGGATATGCAAATTGGGGCATATGGAATCGATGCAGAATCGAGGAGTTTGATATGGAAATTGAAGAGATCTGGAGGGACCAGATCTTAAAGGGGCAAGCAAGGACGGAAATTTTTAGAAAAAAGCACGCTACAAATGCTATTTTTGCGTTTTAAAACCTTAAAATCAAAAGAATCCTCTTTACAAATGCAAATTTGGTAGTTTTTGCGTTCAAAAGAAGGATCACAGCCAATTTTTTCGCATTGTGTGGTTTTTGAGATTTTTAGAGTTTTTTAAGAAGTCAGCAGCGTAGACAAACATTTAAACAAGGCTGTTTCGCTCCCTTTAACGCAAAAATTGCAAATTTTTAATTTGTAAAAGCAAACTTTGAAATGGCAAGAACCTAGACGAGTTTGAAAAACAAATGTAATTAATTAATTAATTTTGGTTAAGTTAATTTAACTACCTCAATAAATACGAAAACATGCGCAAAACCAGAAGGAGCAACATGTCAAAAAAATCGTTTTACTTGTTTTTGAATTTTTCGGTTTCTTTGGTTCCCGGATAAGCGGACGGGGACAAACGGATTTTTTTGGTGTGAATTGGATGCAAGAACGAGACAATTTTTAGAACTACGTAATTTGTTAAGTTACGTAGTCTGGAGGACAAGGGACATTTTCAGGGGCTGGAGAAGTTAGTAGGGGAGCAGGGGAGAGCAGACACAGGGACAAACGGGCATTTTTCAGATGAACACACTGTTTTTGGAGTTTGGCTGGGTTGTGATGGTAAATATGCTAATTTTGCCACGTCTAAAATAAAATTAAAAAAAATCGATTTTTGGCAGTTTTTGAAAATTCTAAAAAATCGTAAGTGTATGGTTTTATGCAAATCACTCACCACAAATCAAGTCAAGCCCAAAAAACCACTCGACCCATCCTAATTGGGACATTAAAGGGATCAGGAAGGCAAAATCCGGAACGTCTATTTGTCCAAAACCTAACTCAAGCCTAAGCTGAAGCCCAAGCCTAAGCTAAGCCTAAATCGAAGCGAAGCTTAAGCCTAAGTCTTAGCCGAAGCCTAAGCAAAGACTAAGCCAAGCCTAAGCCTAAGCTATCAAAAGGCAATTAAAAGCATTTCGGGTTCGATTCTTTCGAAGCTGGAATTTGCCTTCCCAGTCCCTTTAAACTCCTTGAAAAATGGAAATTGATGAAATGATTAAAATCCGCCTATTCAAATCCCTAAGCCCTCGGGTCGTCTAGCCCCGCGCCAGTACCACAATGGCACGTGACCGGACAGTCGGCCGGGCATTTACCGGAAGGACCGGATACGCCCGAACTGTTTCCACCAATACCACCACAGCCATCAGCACGTGTTTCTCCTTCTCCTCCTCCTCCGCATCCTCCGTGGCTACCTTTTTCGGCGTCAGAGTCGTCGATGGTCTGCGACGACTCGCTGCCCTCCTTGATGGTGGACGGCGGCGCCTCCTTCTTGTTCAACAGGTTGCGGCCTGGAAAGAATGGACTTAGAATTTGGCTCTAGAAATGTATAGGGTGTTTGACACACATTTCTGGGCCTGGACAAGACTGGAGAGACAGAATTTTGCGTTTTTTTTATAATTTAGTGGGTGTCTAGAGAAGTATAATTTATTCTAGCATTTTTTAAACAATTTTATACACTTTTTGGAATTCTAAGGAGTGCGTCGAGACAGACTTAGACTTTGCAAACCTTCTAAATGCTAATAATCAGGTTTCTCGAATTCAAAAATTTCATATATAAAAATTGCAATTTGCTTACAGTTAAATTTATTTGGCGTTATTGTTTTAAAACAAAAAGCGAGAAAAATACAAAAACCCATTTTTAGGAATCTCGATATTTTTGATTCATGGTCAATTTTCGGAAAAAGTTCGGTCTCTCCTCTTGCTAAACATGCATATTTCTTTATTTTTTGATACACCGTTCATCAGCATTTTTCAAAAAAAAAATCGAAGTTTGAAACCGATTTTGGTCATTTTCGTATATATAAAGTTTTTTGCAATTCTTAGCAGTTGTGCGATTTTTGACATTTCTTATTTTTTTTTGGATTGCTTAGACCGCTGCTATCCATTGTCGAATCCTCTAATATGCTAATTTGATCATCCAAACCGGATTTTGTTGTTACCTGGCAACGGTGGCTTGTGCGAGGTGCGCGCTTTTTGCACGACCTCCACAAAACTGCGGATCATTACCCAATGAATACACAGCGTTCAAAGGGTCGAATGGGATTAAAAAATAGCTCAGAAATCTTAAGTCAACCAGGAATGTCTGCGGATTAGTACACTGTTTAACAAGGGGGGAGCTCGAGCGGCTGCAGGAGCCCCAGGAGTCGAGCTGCCCTGGTGTGGCAGCTCGCAAATTATTTCCACATGTGGGTTTGGGCCAGGCTGGGGGTTCGGGGGATTTTAGTCAATGCAAAAAATGCAACTTTTGGATTGACATGAGGCTGCATTATTGATTTCCTGAATTCGGGGTTTGATTTTTAAAATATGCTTAAGAAGTGTCTCGGAATAAAAATAGTTTGAAAGATTTCTAGGTACATTTTGATCTCAAAGCCTATGGCTTTATCCCTGACCTAAAACGAACGGCTTTTCCCCCGACCCGAATCCGGAATCCCGACGGCTTGATGGGGTGGCCCGGGGCCTAAATCCCATTTCCCGCTGACTCTCCACCTCTCCCCCCACGACATCAAATGAGAAGAGGTCGAGGGGGAGGAAGAGGAGGAGGAGGAGGACGAGCGGGCAGGGAGAGAAGCAAGTCGTCCCGAGGTTGCGCGGCCTTTTTAGGAGTTGAGGTTATAGGTGATGCATGGATTTTCAGCTGCGGAAGAGATGGCTTGAACCCTAGGCCCCGATCGGAAAGTAGCGGAATTTAAATCGAAGGTGAAACAAAAAAATACGAATTTTTGGTTTTTCTAGGCTTTTTCTATTCCGGGGGCAGTCTTTGCAAAATGATTTTTGCCCAAAAGAACAGATTTTTTTTTTCTTCGATTTTAAAGCTTTTTTGCTGAATCTCCGATTTGCATATTCCCAATTTTTAGATCTTCAAATTCTCAAATTCCTGCAAAAACATAATTCTCTAGTCCTGCAATTATGTCTCCCAACTCCACCCTGTATTTAGCCAGCCGTCGAAAATGGCAAAAGCCACGGAAACAGCTAACTAGTAGACCACAGCACACATTGAAAAAGGGAAGGGCCCACCGAAAATTGGGCCCTTCTTTTGGCCCTCATCCCGGGCAAAGGGCCGCAGCACGGCCGCGTGAAAAACCTTAAATTTCACCAGGTCCGGCAGCGCGCCGGCGGGCTCGAGAAAATTGGTCTGGGCTCAAGAGAGCTGCTGCGGCTCAGGAATGGGCCCAAAAAAGGAGAACAACGCCCGGAAAACACGTGGTCGTTTTGGAATTGGGTCTTAGCTAAAAAAATTGGGCCTGAAAGTTCGGAAGGTGAGAGAGAGAGAGAAAGAAGGAGAGAAAGAGAGAGAGAGAGATAGAGAGAGAGAGAGAGCGGGAGAGAAGGAGAGTAAGAGAGTGCGAGAGTGAGAAAGCGATTTCAAAAAAAATCGATTATTTTGGATTTTAAAAAGGCCTTGACAGCTAGAATTCACGAGCAGGCTGTCGTTTATCATAATTTTTTGGCAAAAGTGCCGACGAAATTCCGTCTTGAAAGGAACCGTCCAGGTCGATTTTTACCGGATTCTAGGCCATATCGTTTTTGATGTTCCTCCTGAAGTCAATTTACGTTTTAAAAGGACTTAGACACTAAACTTGAGCAAGAACAGCCCGAAAAAAACAAATCAACTGTGGCCAACTCCAGAACAGAGAAGTTCTTAAAAAATGGATTTAAGCCTCATTAAATTTTTTGTAAGATAAATGGCAACGCAGAAAAAGCGTAGATTAAATCCCTATATTTACCTAGACACACCAACAACCATTTCGCCGCGAAATAGATCGATAAAATCATAGTTTTGTAAGGGAACAGACCGGAAATTCCGTACCGCTCCTCTAGACACCCATTTACAAGCAGACACACACCTTGAAGCAGGTTAACCACCGACGTCAGCAGTCTCCCCTCATTAGCCGGAGCGGCCGGAGGAGGGGCGTCATTTGGCGTGGAGTGGAATAATTGCGAATCCTGGGGGACCGGCTCTTCTTCGAGATTTTTCAATTTTTCATCGAGCTGATCGCACGAGAAAAAGTTTACGGAATGCCCGAGAACGGTCAGTCGCGATTTTGGGCGAATTGCCTCGGAATTTGGAGTCTCGGGTACTGTAGGGACTGTAGCCGCTCCGGGATCGATTGGAATCTGACTCCCAGCTCGAGATCTGTCCCCAGGAGTCTGAGAATGAGCTCGAGCTCTCGCCTGCGGGCTTGGAGAAAGCAGATAGTACGCTACCGATAGCAGGAATACGATAAATGGCCAGAGGGCGGATGTGAAGAGGTCGGTGAACCACGACATGGGCCCATAATAGGTGGCCTAGGTAGGGTACTGTAGGTTTGGCTCCGAATAGAAAACCTCAGGAGTTTGTGCTCCTCAAAAAATCGAACTCAGTAGATTGGCAATCAACAGGTTTTCGCCGTTTTTGTAGCCGGGGCACGGGTTAAAGGACCCCAAAATCAGCCGTTTTCAGAAACCGGAAGCTGGCCAATCTAAAATCAATTTCTGGCTGTATTTCAGCCTGGAGGGGCCGGAAAACGTTTAGAGTGTGCCGGAAAACGAATTGGAAACAGATTCCGGGCAGCGAAACGACCGGAAGTGATTTTTGAAGCTTCCCTTCTTCAAAAAAAATCAGATTCGAGCCCGAAAATGAACTCCAGGAGTTCGAGCCGGGAGCTGGTGCCTCAGAAAATTTGAATATGGGCTTCACCGGCTTCCAGAGCCGTTTTCTCCGCAGATTTTTGGTTGCGGAGCTGGGAGCAGGCAGCTAGTGGGGCTTAGAAATTGAGGAGCTCTAGAAAACACGCAATAAAACAGCTCCTAGACCCCAAATATTATACCCCGGGATCAGCCGGCGGGATGGGCTAGCTTGAAGCAGCAGCAGCACCGGGGGGTTGATATGTTGTGGGTCCTGGGCCCGGGCCGTGGGCCCCCTGGAGTGTCCACCTAGCCAACAGAGGGCCCAGACACACACACACGTAGCGCAGTGGCCGTTGGTCTTTACCGGAGAGGGGAGAGAGAGAGAGAGAGAGAGAGAGAGAGAGAGAGAGAGACAAAGATATAGAGACTACGCCCCAACAACACACACAATCTTCACAATGTTAAGGGACCCCGGGGACCTTCGGCCCCGGGTCGGCGGGCGCCGGCTTGCCGGACTTGCTAACTATTTTGGGAGTCGGAAAAGACAATGGGAGGCGCCGGACCGGCTTTTTTCGGAGCGTTCCGGAATTCCTTTTTGCAGGGTTCTCAAGTTAGGTTAGAAGCGGCCTTTAGAAGGTTGGGGCTTAGGCTTGGGCTTAGGCTTAGGCTTAGGCTTAGGCTTAGGCTTAGGCTTAGGCTTAGGCTTAGGTTTGGGCTTAGGCTTAGGCTTAGGCTTAGGCTTAGGCTTAGGCTCAGGCTCAGGCTTAGCTTTAGGCTTGGCTTAGGCTTAGGCTTGGGCTCAGGCTTCAGCTTCGTACAACCGATTCTCTTCCCATGCTTCTTCGACTTTCTGCAAATTAAGCTATCTGCAAAGCTGAGTATTTTCGGAATCCCTATTTTCCCGGAGCCTACATCATTACAATCAAGTATTACCAAATTTTAACGTGCCCACCACCGCGACGGCCCACTCCAAATCCCACATCCATCCCCTCGGGATTGTTTTGCACGCAAGCTTCAAGTGGCTTGATATCACCACTCAGCAATCTCCTTCTCTCTCTGTCTCTCTGTCTCTCAGTCTCTCTGTCTCTCGCTCTCTCTCTCTCTCTCGATTTTCCACGAAACTGCGCAATTTTTTTTTGCAGGCTAACCGCGTGAGGGTGGGGGTGGGGCAAGAGAAAAGCGCGAGTTCAGCAAATACTCAAATTTTCCGGGGGCTTTAGGCTTGAGCTTTTGCACCTGGGAGGCGTTTTGAACATCCGGAGATAAAGGTTAGCGCTCGTTTCTGAGTGGTTTTTCGGTAGAACCGAGAAGAGTTTTGGGCCCTGCCTTTGATCTCAAGCAGCCTGGTGTTGTATCAGGTTGGTAGATAAATCCTGTCACAATTTTTTTAAATCTCTCTATATAGCCGCAGACATGTCCGATTTTAACGTTTGATACCTGATTTGATAGGTCTTGGGCTGCTCTATAATGGGAGCTGCGGCACGAGGCCGAAAAGTTACAGGAAGCCGGGTTACAGCACCGGGAAGTTTTTCATAAAATCTTGAAAAAGCTTTTTAGCGTGATATCTCTGCATAGAGAAATTTGCATGCGATACCTTTAACACCAATCGATAGCTCTCGCGGAGTAGATATCGATAGATGTTGAGATCATCAAAATTGGACACCGGATGGCCGAGATACGGGTCCTTGAAATTTGATTGATTTCTTAGAACTTTTCCCGAAATCCCATACATTTTACGCATCTGTGACAAATTTTGCCAGTTGGTTTTTGAGCGCCCGGAGAAGGTTTTGTCTAAATGTATGGGAATTCGGAAAAGTTCTAAGAAATGGACCAAATTTGAAGGGCCCGTATCTCGGCCATCCGTTGTCCGATTTTGATGATCTCAACATCTATCGATATCTACTCCTCGATGGCTATCGATTGGCGTTAATGGTATCGTATTCAAATGGCTATATGTAGAGATAGCACGCTAAATAGCTTTCTCAAGATTTTATCAAAAACTTCCCGGAGCTGTAACTCGACGGCGACCCACTTTGGGGACCAAATCGGGTTTTTCCCAAGTAGCGCGTCCCAAGATCTATCAAATCATGTATCGAAAGTGAAAATCCGACGTTTCTACGGCTTTCTAGAACGCTTTCAAAAAATTGTGACCGGACTTATCTACCAACCTGATACTTGTCGTTTTTGGAACATTTTTAGGTGATTTCTAAGGTGTTAAGGTATACAAAAAGTTAGGGTCGTCTCGATGTCTCTCCCTCTTTCTATCTCAGTTTCTTTCTCTCTCCCCCTCTGTCTTTCTGCCTCTCTCTCTCTCCCCTTGTAACAAATACAACTAGTCGACTACCGGGTGAAGCAATAATTTACCTCCTCTCCCCATCAATCACCCCCTTTCGCACATGTTGTGCCACAAAAAGCCGGTGAACACCAGCCGGCTCGAGCAGGGTGTGTGCCCGGGGGGCACACACTCCCCATAGTATCGCCCTACGGCTGGGTGTAACGTTCCGGGGATTGGTTAGCCGAGATGGGAAGGGAAGACGAGCTTTTCTGGTGGGCTAATTTAATAAGGGAGATGGGAAGTGCTATGCCTTGGAGTAGATTAACTCGAAAAAAGTGGCGTGGTCAGGTAGTTTAAGGAACGTCTAGTATAGCAGCAACGAAGGGTACACTCTTGTATCGTTTTTTCAAGAAGTGGCTCTTAAGGTAAGCTTTTGAAGGTATTTAAGTACTTTTGGTAGTTTACTGGGTGGTTTTATCTCCAAAATCACGTACTTTCCCCGGGTGTAGTTTGAAGTCCATAGCGAGTGCCAAACAAAGTGTAATGCTCCTCTGACCGATGCAAGGGGCTTGCAAAGCGATCATTGGCTGAGAAAGCAGGAAGCTGGCGAGGAGATGGCTCTGATTTGGCCAATAAAAAGTGGGCACTGACAAGCTCTGGAGGTAACCCGAAGCCGGCGATTCAAAAATAAACCCAAAAAATTTATTAGGAGAAGTTTGGGGATAAAAGTATTTGTGTGCCCAGTGAGGAGCACCAGATTGATAAGGGACGAGCTCGAGAAATTCTTCACCTCCTTAACGATAGCTGCAGCTCAAAATAAATAATATTTTGTTTAGCTAACTCCTCAGGCAGAAGCCACAAAAATTCTAGAAAATTCCGGACTTCAGAAGCTTAGGCTTAGGCTTAGGCTGGGAAGTTAATTTTAATAAGACCTACGCATATTGAGGATGGTAATAACAGAACTTAAAAAGAGCAAATGGAGCAAGAGCAAAAACTCCTTGAAAATGCCCACCGTCATCCTCTTGCACGACAATATCGGGGAGTCCATTCTCCTTATCGTGTCCGGACGATGGTTCCGGGCTCGGGCTACGCGAGATTCCCACTAACACCTCTTCCACAAACGACACATGTTCCGCGTCCCCATGCGCGGTTACGGTAATCCGCACCGGACACTTTTTACGCGCCGGAGAATCGGTCACTTCAAAGGAGTTTTCGGGATTTTTCTCGAGCACAAAGTCGAGAGTCTGAGCTTCTTCTACGATTTTTGAGTTCGACGTTGATGGCTGCATCGAGGGTAGCTCTCCAATATTCCCAAGAGCACTCGCGCTTCTTGGTGTTCTGCCAACGAATTGCCCGCTTTCAGGGATCGTCTCGGAAATTGGTGAAGTTAGAAGATCGCTAGAGCATGTCGGCTGTTCTTCAGCCAATGTGTGACGTCTTCGCCGTTTTGTGGATTTCCGAATTTTCTTGAATAGCCCGTCGACGAAGCGCATTTTGTCGAGATCGGCGCCGACCATACGCGGTCGGCAGTATCAAGTAGAAATTAGCGTAGTTCGAGGTTGTTTTAGAGGATTCTGGAAGCTAGAATTTGGAGTGGAAATTAAAAGGAAGACACGGAAGATATAACCGTTATTTGGCAAAAATTAGGTAAATTTTTGTTTTTTAGGAGGATCAGACCAACATCGCAGGGCGGATAACGTACTGTCAGGACACGTCAGTACTGGACACGGTATCGACAAGAGCCTTAAGGAGAAGGATAGCCTTTAACCTCTGATCATTTCAGCTTCAGATAGACCAGATTATACAATTCACGGGAGCATGACTTTCAAAAAAGCTCGAAAATCAAAACAGTTGAGCTCAAACTAGAGTGCCATGAGCATGACACCTCACTATGATGGTGTTGACCGGCCTCATTTTTCGTAAACGCCTTTTTTTGGTGGACTCGCTGTTCGGGATGAGTGGCGGATAGAGAAAGAGAGCGAGAGAGAGTAAGAGAGCCAGAGAGAAAGAGAGAGCCCGAGAGAGAGAGAATGAGCGGACTAGCTATGGAAATTGATCCGAACCGCCAGACGTGCGGGGTCGCAAAATAAGTACAAAAAACGGAGCCGATTTTTGGGGGTTATCGGGACGTACAGCGTACGAAAACGGAGTTTTATTGCTCTAATTTTGGTAGCATTAAACCAAAATGGGTAAAATATAAACTTAAAAAATGGCTCTTAAGATGAAGCGACTTAAAATATCATCAAACCAAAGGTTTTTGACCGCTCAAAACACCTAACCCTATCAGCAAAACGCTATTTTTGAAACGTAAGCCCCGCCCGCGAAAATCAACACCCCCCAGCAAAACTCGGGGCACTAAAGATAAGCCGAATGACTTTCCTGGGCTTTCTGAGGCTTTTCAAGGCCTTGGAAAGAGAGGAGGAGGAAGAAGAAAAGGTGAGTCGACCGGGCGGCCGCTCAGGCAAGATGGGGAACCTGCATTTTTTTTGTCGAAATTCCGCCCCTCCTAACAAAAAGGGGTGTATTCCGAAGGCAAACATTTGACAGGGGGGTGGTACTGTGGTTTGAGCTTTTCGGAAAGTTTAGTTTCGCCATATTTTGGAAAAAACGATGGAATTTAAAATCCCAAGCAAATCTAAATAGCGGCTTTGATAAATTCAAACTTGGCAATCATATCGATAAAATATTTATAGCGCCTTTTTTATGTTTTATCCTGAATTCAAAAAACGTCAAAGTTCTAAACTTTTTCAGCGATTCTTCCAAATAAAATTTTTAATGTTTTGACTATGAAATGCCCAAAAACGTAGTAAAAATGCGGTGTTGTTCGCTGAATCAATTTACAGTCATCATTTTTCGCTACTCTCTGGGTGTCGATGCGTAAAATGTGGGAAAACGGACGAGTGCTGTAACGCGTAGTGGGGGTGGGGGATTTGCAGAATTTTCCGGATTTTCAGGATTTTGCAGGATTAGGGCCAGAATTTTGACGCAGGCGAGCAAAACGGGGGGTTCAAATCTCACCAAAATCTCTTCAAATAAAAGAAACTTTAAGTCCAACTTTTTCATTATAAAAATGGAAGAGTGCCTTACAAAACTAAAAACATATAAAAAAATGTTTTTCCATCTAGAGAAACAGGTTAAAAATTTGATTTTAATATGAAAAATATATAAAATAATGCTTTTCCTTTACAACTGGATTTGCAAGAAATCCTGCTCTACAAAAACCCCAAAAAAGAATCTAATAAAGCCGATTATCCGGCAGATTGGCCAAATTGGGGATGAAAGGGGAGAAACCGCGGGGATTCCCCTTCCAAGGCGGTGTCTATAGCAACGCGTCGTTGCCGAAAGCATCGAAATCTATCGTATTTTTGGCCGTTTCTAATCGGAATCCGAAATCCAGAAATTTTATGGATTTTATGGAGTCGTAGGGGGGTGGAATCGGGCGGAGCGGCCCGTAGCCGCCCTGAACAATTCGGAGCTGCCCGGGGGAGCCTATTATGATTCAGACGCGGAGCCCTGTGAAAAAGACGGCCCCCTCATTAATTTTGCAAGACTTTTCCGCCCGCCTGGGTCGGGGTGGGATTTGGAATATTTTTGGGGTATACGGGGGACAATAAAAGTTTTCGTTTGTGGAGTGAGAACGAGAGAGAGAGAGAGAGAGTGAGAGAGAGAGGGAGAGCGATCGAAAGAACGCTTGCAGTTTGCCTTTCCCGTGCCTTTAAAAAATTACATCTGGACCGATAAAACTTTGTGCCACGCTAACTCTAGAACGCCTAATTTCGAGAAAATTGAAGATTTTTGGTAACTGGATGCCAAGAGCTTCCAGCTAATCTCACCTAAACGTCCTAATATCTAAAACAATAAAAACGTCGAAAATTGGAACAAAATTTCAAGTAGCTTGGAGCTACGTGAGGCTCCACTAAATACGCGGGACTGCCTTTTTTGTACGACTCCGACTAACGAGCGCTTTTCCCGGTGAATAATTTAACCAGAGAGCCACTCAAGGATCAGCGAAACTACGTCAAATACATAATTAGGCGCAAAAAACGAACGAGACCGGAGTTGAGAGTCTAATCGAAGCTAGTTAATGTTAAAACTGCGTGCAAAATGCTTCAGATTCTTCAGCAGCGCGCCCATAAAGGATGCACCAAATTGGAGCGGAATTGCGTATCGGCCCGGAATAATTTGTTCAAAGGGCCGCGTGAAGATGTGTGAAAATGAGTTGTTTTTCTTGGCGAGCCGAGGGAATGAGAGGCGGTGACGTGATTTGGTCATTTTGGAGCCGACTTACAAGGAGTGTCCTTTTGGTGTCATCGGCAAAACGATTCGAGACCCCGCTCATTCGATAGAGAATTGAATTCTGAACAAGACTGTGTTGTTCATTTTTGCGGAATGGTTGTCCCTGATTTTATAGAATTAAAAAACCAAGCGCGAAACCTTAACAACTCGCTCCCCAAGCACCAATGTATGGGCGTCGCCGGCAGTTTTTTAATTTTATAAAATCAGGGACAACCATTCCGCAAAAATGCACAACACAGTCTTGTTCAGAATTCAATTCTCTATCGAATGAGCGGGGTCTCGAATCGTTTTGCCGATGACACCAAAAGGACAGTCCTTGTTAGCCAGATTCGGAAAAGAAAAAATTTGCCTTTTTTGCCCTGTTTTGCATGATACAAATGGATATCTGGGCGTCTTAAAAATTAACTTCGTCAGCGTATTGTCATGGTGTTTTCTAGCAGATTGAATGTAAAACAAGTATTTAACAATTTGAAAAATTTGCAATTTTGACGATTTTCACGATGTAAATAAGGGGACTAAATTAGAGGCAAATTATGAAATTTCTACGTCAAATTTACTAGAATAACGTTTCAAAATGATCAAACGGTTTAGAGTCCGAATTTCAGCCCCAAAAATCGTCATCGGACGCCCAACATCGACGGAGGATCCACAGAAAAATGTCCCAAAAAAAGGGAGGGATGGCCAGCGCTGGAGCCCAAATTATCTGCACACACTGGCGATGCCGTCGTTGTGTGAGTATGTGCGTCTATTGACGAGGAGGATGGGCTTCGTCTACCCGCGGAGGCTCACGGAATTGACGCCCTTTTTGGGGGAGAGCGGATGTGACGGAGCAGGGCTCTGGGAAAGTCGTCAAAATTTGGGGCTGGAGGCGTGAAAGTTTTTTTGTAAATTCAGTGTTTCTTAAAGCTCTTAAAGAGTCTCTTAATCCATCGATCAAATCGCTTAATGCACTTTGGAGCTGTGAAAATGCCTGAAGTGATGTTTTTGAATCCGCAAAATTCTGATAACAATCCTTGAGAAAATTCAGGCGCAACATTAATGCGCTAAATAGTGCGCTCTGATTTTTTCTATCGAATCTGATCAAAATCAATCCAAATATCAAACCAAATTCTAACAAACAAACGATAGTCTTGCAAAACAAATTCTAGACGCCAACTAAAAAAACGTGACTTCCTGAACCCAAAAGCGTCGAGGTCCGCTTGGCCGGCGCCTCTCATTAGTGCCTTAATTGTGGGCCCCCAAGCGGAGCCCTGGCTCCGCTTTCAGGGTCCCTGAAAAGGGTTGCCCAATCAGGAGGATTGTCCATCTTTTTTTGCAGATTAAATCCCGAATCCGGGGTGAGATATAATAAGCGAGAGGGGGGTTTACTTATTGGGTATATTTTGGAAACAGAGAGAGAGAGAGAGAGAGAGAGAGAGAGAGAGAGAGAGAGAGAGCGAGAGAGACGGCTAGAGAGAAAGCCAGCCTGAGGATTCGTGGATTGAACAATCCTACACCTAAAATAAAATAGAAAAACCTAAACTAAAAATAATAACTAAAACCTTATAAAAATGTTAAAATTCTATTCGCCGTTAATAGGTATCACCAGTACGTTACGTTCCAAATTCCGGAACACAAAAACCTCAGAAAAAACCTAAACGAACGCTTGCCTTCATCCGAATACTGCACCCGAATCGGGGCAATCTGGGCGGTGAGTGGCCGTTGGCGACTGCCGATATTGGATGTGGATGGGGAGGAGGTAGAAGCGGAAGCCGCGGCGGCAGTAGTGGATGCAACAGCTTCAGCCAGTCGTTTTGCGGCCACCGGGGACGGGTGGGGCGAGGACTACATAGGTTTTTGAGGCTTTAAAAATTAATGGCAGTCCTAAGCTAGGAAATATATCCCCGGGAGCTGTGAAAATTTAAAATTGAAAGTCCAAAAAGCATTATTTTCCATTTTCTAAATGTTCTCCATAGTTTAAAAAGCTTGGGAGTATACATGGGTCGACGCTTGCATGCGCCGCATAAGCGTGGCCGGCCACGCTCTTCCGGAGCGTGGAGAGCCACGCTGGCGCGCGTGCCTCTTAATAAACCACGCCGAAATGAGCGTGGCCCGCCACGCTCCGGAAACGCTTATGCAAAGTTTCTAAAAATGCAAAATCAAGGTTTTCCAAGGGACATGAAAGCAAAAATCGATCCGTTTTCGAGAATTTAACTAACAAGAAGTTGAATCACCTTCTATCTTGTTTATTTATCAAAATTTAAAGATGACACTGATAGTTATGTATCGGCAATTCATTTTTGCAAACCGAAATCATAAATATATGTCCTTTAAATTATTGATTTGCATCTGGAGTCAATCGCGCGCGTGAAAAAGCACGCAGAAAGCGCCGCATAAGCGTGGTCCTCTACGCTCCGGAAGAGCGTGGCCAGCCACGCTTATGCGGCGCATGCAAGCGTCGACCCATGTATACTTGGGAGAATCAAAAATAATTTCTGAAAATGCTGAAAAATTCTGTCGAAAGCGCTGCCCTACAAAATATACATCACGTTTTTAGCGCGTAAATCTAGGAATTGAGATGCTAATCGGTTTCTCTAATTTATTCTGACTTGAAATTAAAAAGCCTGATTAATAACGGGTCCTAAAATCAATCTTGTTGCGTCATCAGCATATCCGGTAGCTAAAAGCGTGAAATAACCTACTTTTGGTTCCTGCGTACCCCTGGCATGAGCCATGGCCACATCGACAAATGGCCCAAAAGCCACGCCAAGCTCTCGGGCTCCAGCCGCCGGGGCGGACTGTTTCCGCTTACTAGGCAGATTCGGCGAATCCGGATTAGAATTCCTGGGCAAACTCGGGCTTCTCCTTCGCCCGGACATCATATCAACTAGCCCGGACATGACCAGCCTTGGGGTATCCGAAATTCTGTAGGCCGCTCGATCTTGTAGATCGCTAGCTCTACGCGACACACCGTTCGCGTCTTTATTTCGGAAGTTGAACATGGCTTCCGATTAGGATAAAATATAATAGTGGTAGAATAAGGTTTTGGGCCGGTTACGCAATGTAATTTGGGTGGAGTCGTGACAGCCTTTTTTTGAGCACAGAAACGAGGCCAATTCTGATTCTCCTCCCGCGAATAGGTTGCCCGCACCCCAGATGACGCCGGGGAATCCGTAGGTTATTCCCGTTATTTTCTTTTTCTTTGCTCCCTCTCCCTCTCTCTCCTTCTCTCACTCTCTCTCTCTCTTTCTCTCTCGCTCTTCTTGCGGATGGCTTTTATTAGCAAATCCCTGCCACGTGTCTTTAGTTTAGTGGCGTAGCTCGGATGATTGGGGAAAATGATCCGGTTTGGGGAGAGATCTTTGGAGTACTTTCAAAACCCAGAAAATCGAGGCTTTGGCGAGTCAATGAACCGGAAAATACGAGCCTGAACGTGGAAGGGCGAGGATTAATTCCGAGTAGCTCCGCAAAATTGTCAATAGGCGTACTCGTAGTCCCGTGGCGCCAGAAAGTTGCGTTTTTGCATACGATTATCGGAGAAACCGGAAAAATAGTGATGATTGGAAAGCGGCGAGATTTTCGGGACGCTCCGATTGACCGTTTTTCGTGGTGGCTCGTAGCGGCCGAGAAGTTGAAGCCGTTCAAACGGTTGACTAATTGTTTTTCCGGGGTAAACTAGCTGAGGTCTCCAGCTACAGCGCCAAATTGATGGGTCTAGGGCACGTGTGTAGTCCGTAGTCCGTAGTTACGAGCTGACTGGCTAGCTGAACGTCTCGATCGTGCGCGCCAAGTCGTCTACAGCTAAATAGCGGAACGTTGCAGTTTCAAATCAGCTGAACGTCTCGGAGTTGAGCCGTAATTCGCTGGGACGTAAATAGTCGTAATTCAGAGCTCAAATATGATCGAAAGCTGTTCAATTGCTCAGCTTCCACCCCCAGCCGTCGATAGCCGTACTTCGTAGCGTTCAAGTGTGCCGGATCTTCAGCTTTTCCCGGATCACTGTTCGCACGGCCAGGCCGGGTTGAGCTCGGCTTTCCTTGCGAAAAAGAACAAATAACACCACCGCCGGGCAGTCGATGATGGGGCGTAAGGATGGGTGGGTGGTGGCTTGGCAATATTTGTTGAGGGATGGGCTCCACCCGTCGTTTGTTGTAGCGTGGAAGGTACGAGAGGGGGGAAGGTCCGGAAATAGCAGATGTCGATGGGTCGGCAGGGGGATTCCCCGTTTTTTATGCTCCTCCTAGCGCTCGTGCTCTGTCTTCAGGTGCTGAGGGGCAGATGGGGCTCCTCGGCTGGGGGCGATATGCAAAAAGGTCGCCTCTGGGTCGAAAACTGAGACCAGGTGTGGAGATTGAGCTTCGACAACTCGGGCTCAAAAATTGGGGAGCTGCGAGTAGAGGCCTGCTTAGTTTTTGACCTCTTTGAGCTTGCGCTTAAGCTGGAGTGTTTGAGCTTGGAAAATAAAGTCGAAAAGTAGCTTTCCAACGGATTTTCGATCAGATCGACTTTTGGAAATGAAGCCGGCTGCAAAAACTTTGAAATGGACGCTGACAAGCGTTACGACGGAATCGATTACGCAATGAAAACACGCATAAATAGATGCGTAAATAGCAAAGCGACGTAGCTCCTGGTTAATAGGATCCTCGCGTATGCTACCGTCAAAAATACAGACACGTAGCTGTACGTAAATCGTAGTGTCAGTGTCAATAGTAGCCTCGCGTAGCCCAGCGTCAATAGGTCGATCCCGTAGCTTTCCGAAATCGGAAATGGCCAAAAATCAAGCGAGAGACCCTCGAAGAGTTGCCTTGTACCCGGCTTTTTCCGAGTCGATGATGGGAGGAGTACCAGGGCTGGGCGGAGCTCACCCTGCTTCCTTAGGGCCCACCGCTGCCCACTGGGCCCTCTGGGCACTAGGCCGTAAAAAACCCGAACGGACACGGCATAATATTTCTCAAGGCGGGGCGGCAGCAGGGTGGAGGGGAAAAGCCCAAGGAAAAGCCCGAAATCCGGGTGCCGGGTGGACAACTGTCGGTTCGGATCTGGCCATCCGTTAACCACTCCCTGGCCACTGCCGGGCCCTAAGCCGCGCCATGGCCATTGCCAGCCGCTGGACCGACAAAATGCGGACGCGATAAATTGATGAGCGTGGCGAGGATTAGCGACCAGAAATCCGTGAGGGCCAAAGAAGACCGGAAACGCGTGTTTTTGAAGGGCTTCTACCTATCCCAAAGGCTGAGGATTATAATTTGAGGTATAGATTGTATACTTTAAGGGACCGGAGGTGACGATTTGCATCAAATGGAGCATGAGCTCGCAGAGCACATGAAACGGCAACCTGGAAAATTCCGAAAATTGCATAGGGGAATCCGACAAAAACCTTCACAGGTATGGTATAAGTTTCCGCTTCGTAAATAAAACAGGAAAATTCAAGATTTCAGCGTCTCCTACTGATCATTTTATTGATTGAGAAGGAGGTCGAGCTCATAAGATAAAGAATTTGGCAAGGAGAAGCCTGAAAAGCGTCGCAAAACAAAAAAAATTGTTGAAATTCAATTAGCATAACCTGGAACGCTTTGAAACTGCGAAAGCTAAAAGGTTGCGAAAAACTTTGCAGAATTCGCCGGGTACGGAGGTCCAAAAATGCAACAATTTTCCAAACGAACGCCTCGTAGATTAGACTATGTAAACAACTGACGGCTTGGGCTACTTAAGCCTTCCTGAAACGTCATTCCTTGTCCGGAAAACCCGGAAAAATTTAAAAAGGCTCTAACATGTCTTAAAGTACAGGCTATACCTATTGACGCCGATTTTCACACAAATTTTCGTATTTCAAACTCTTTTTGCTGATGAACGGTGTACCGCTGAAATGGGACGACACGATACGAATTCTCGTCAATTCAATGCTCAATTTCAAATACTACGATCCACACCAAATTGCACCCAACGCACACTGAACAAGCAAGAAGATGAGTGGGACGGGGTGGAATGTGGGAGATGTGAGGAGGTTGTCAGGTGTATTTTGGGGGAATCGAGGGCGAGTTTTTGCGAATTTAGCGTGTCAGTCCCTTCTATAAATTAATAACCATGAAATCAGTTCCAGATTTACAGTATGCAAATTAGGTCATTATTATTCACATGCAGGAAAGGAATTTAGTGGGGCTTTTAGGCAATTTTTAGTCGAAATTTCGGTTCGGGCTGTTAAAACCCTAAAAATGTTAAGAACTGCTTTTTTTGTGCTAATTAGCATATCAAATATTTCTTAAATGCCCTCAATAATGCAAAAATTTTAACCAAGCCGTTTTTCCAGATTAGAAAATTAATCGGGGTCGCTTTAAAGGGACAGGAAAGGATGGAAAATCCGCTTTTTTGGAGATTCCTGTGCACACCTCTCAACATCCTCATTAGCATCCACACACCCCAGCACATTCTCACCCACCTTCAGCTGCGGTAGCAGCAGCAGCAGCCGAGAACTTACTCGACAGGTTCCGCGTCGCGATCATCGTCGTCAGGATGGCGCCCTGAAGGAGAGGGGATTTGGTTTTGGTCCTGGATTTACATATTGAAGAGCTTTCTTTAGGTTTTTTTTTAGGAATTTTGGGGCTCGGGGAATGTCCAGGTGGGTAATTTGCATCTGCAGATTTTCTTTTCGTGTTTAAAAAATTTGAAGACCTTATCGAACGCGTCGAAGGATTTTTTATTTCGTTAGAAAATCGTGGCTTGCGATAAAATTGAAAATGAAAATTCATTTAAGCTACTAGAAAGCCCGATAAAAAGCTCAAAATTCAAATTTGAATACGTATTTTGAATCCGAAATTCTAAGAAGGCCCTTTGGACCGCGTGAAATTTTTCATGCTAGGAAATTGGCACCTCCGATTTTTAGAGATGTGGCAATTTGCGAAATTGAAATTCTTGGTTTTTGGATACGTCAAATAGGATTTATCCAATCTTAATTTAATTTGTTTGGAAAATACTAATTGTATTTAAATGCGTACTATAAAATTCTCGACATTTAAAAAAATTGTCTAAGTTTATTAAAATCCAGCATTTGGCTGAGTTTTTTAATGTTTTATGCAAATTCTGAGGATGGTTTTTGGTTTCCCGAAATTTAGCAACGGTAGCTCCTTGCAGAAATTCCCTTATTTGCATCTTTCACCTGGCCATTTCAACACGAGCCTCAAATCCTCCCACCAAACCAAAAAAAATGGTATTTTTATATTTTTGGGGCAGCTAGGGGGAAGCATGTGTGGGGATTATTTAAGCGATTTAATGTTATTGAAGCTATCTAAGTAAATTTTTGAAAATTTAAAACTTTAAAAATTTCAAAAATAAAAAATGTTAGTCCCTCCACTAAAAGCTTCCCGAAAAATGAGTTACAAATTGGTGTTTTTTTTTGGAAAATCTCTGCAATTGGAAACAGCGCGAGTGTGCCATCCGCGTGTGGGTTGTTATGAAGCGTGTGCTCGGCTAAAAGGGCCCCTTTGGGGTACGTTAGGGTACGGTAAAATGGCTGATTTTATAAATGTGCAAAAATGATAGCTAAAAAATCAGTAAAAACGATCAAAAATTTTATAAAAATCCAAAAAAATTAGAATTTTTCAAGATTTTAACATTTTTTTTGCTATAATTCTGATGTAAATCCGCTTTGTGCAGCCAAACCAACCTTGAAGATGATTAATTAACGTTTTTATCATTAATGAAATTTAACAATATGCAAAAGTTACGAATGGAGGCAAAAATAATCGATTTTTTGCATTTAATCCGAAAAATGTTGGTTTGCATACTACGGTGCTTTCACTATTGTCTTATGCCGATAATTTGCACAATTCGAAAATTGAAACGTCTAAGGTCGGCTAGAAAATTGTTGATTCCTAAATCTCGCCATTTCCACCGTACCCCATCCACCCTGAGCCCTCTAAAAAGCACCTAATTTGCATATGCCACCTAATTTTTTTCTTTTCTACGTTGAAGAAACGGGCGAAGAGGAAACGAAAGAAAAAAGGGTTGCAGAATTTCGGCGGGGAGATACGGTATTTCGGGGGGTGGAAAGAAGCGGAAATCCGAAGATTTTTGGGTGGACAGGACAGATAATGGGGTGGAGGAGAGAGGCGATGCAGGGGGGTACAGTAGGACTACGGTAGGAGCGGGGGAAATAAACTGAAAATTGGGGCGGAAATGGAAATGAAAATAGGGGGAACGGCATCCCGAAAGCGTGCATGCGTTCAGCGGGCAACATGGCAGAAAGGGAGCGGAAGGGCAAAGGCATGCTTAAAGGGACCGGGAAGGCAAATCCAGAGGAAAGTTTTGACCAAAGGTTCCCTTTTAAAGGTGTTAGCAAGTTCGATCTATAAGACCCTAGGTAACAGTTTAAAGGTGTCATGAAGGCAAACCCATCAGGAACGCCTAACCTTTATCATCTTAAAGGACCTAGTAAGGCAAATCCATAGGAAGCCTAGGGAGAAGCTACTTTAAAGACCCTGTGAAGGCAAATCCATAAGAAATACTTAGCCTATATCGTCTTAAAGGGCTTAGTAAGGCAAATCCAGAGCTAGTACCTAGGCAGTAATTACCTGGAGGGTCAGATAAATGCAAATCTAGTGGTATTTTTGAGCTCAGGCTTGTTTTAAAGATACTATGAAGGCAAATCTATATCCGATTCTAAGGCTTAATCCGTCTTAAAGTACTTTTCAAGGCAACTGAATATCGTTTGCGACCTGATCTACCTTTTATGAGTTCGTAGGCTACCCAAAAATTTTCAGAAACTCAAAAACTCATAATTACATCGATCTGGACACGGGACACGCCTCTGGACAGTGTGCACCAAAAATAGAAATTTTCCTGGTGCTTCAGGGGGACAGCTTCAAACGAGTTTTAAAGGGTTTAAAAGGGCAGCGTGCAAAGAGAAATCAGGAAAAAACCGAGGGTTTTTCGCGGGCTGGAAACCATGCGCAAAGGGGTCAGAGGACAGATGGCGAGCAGACACGACGGGGATACGGTAACTGAGGGCGGCTTATAGCAAAAGTGGGGCAAGGTGGGTTTTTATGCGGTTGTCTCTCACCCGCACTTGCTCTCGCTCTCTCTCGCTCTCTCTCTCCCTCTCTCGCTCGCTCTATCTCACTCATTCTCTCGCTGCCTCTATCGCCCCAAACCTCTCCACCTCAAAATCCCCTCTTTTTCTAAAAGCCGGTTCGCATCGCAACCCCTATAACACGAACACGAAAAATCAGAAAAATCAGGGACAGCGTGTGTTGGTTGCGTCGCATTCCGGAAAGTTGTGTGGGTATATTTTGGGGGTGGCGCATGCCGGTATTAAGGTTTTGTTTTATGAAATTGCGATTATATACATTGAAGCTGCTTGGTGAACGTCGTCAATTTGTTGATTAGCTACAACGTGAAGAGCGTTTTCAAGATGTGGCCCGCCTTTTTAGCGTGACACCATTTTTTGCTAGGATTTTTGTAAATTTTATTTAGTTGCTGAAACTGTGTTTTCACTATCCTCGTAATGTTGTTGATTATTTTGAAATTAGTAGGCTCAACACTAACGACTGGTTACGGTAACTTTTGTGAGTGATTTTTGGGGTTCTGGGTAAGTCATGATGAGTGCCTGGGTTTGGGTTTTTGGTTTGAGAGTGGGAATGTGATCGGAAAAATTCAAAATATGCGGGGCAGGGAAGGTTTTAGCCTTGTTACGATGCTGTGCTATTCGGGGGGTTGAACGGAATTTGGAGTAATGCGGAAATCCACAAAATTTTCGAATCCTGGAAACTTGAAAATTAAAAATAGTAATAAAAAGGTTAATGGGTGCCTTGCCTATCTCAAGCCTTTTTATTGCAAAATTTACAAAAATACAACTTTTTCCCAAGGTTGTTTTGGTGCGATGAGGCCTGTTTCCACGAAAGAAAGGCCCTTGGGCTAGAAAGACCTATTTTTTTCCGCAACGTACGAAACTATAAAAATTGATTTTGAATTTCCGCTTCACTCCAAATTTCGAAAGGTGAAATTTTTTGGGGTACTGTGGGGTACTGTGGATCAATCAGACCGTGTTTCACATTTTTTTGGGATTGTTTCTGTACCTCCTCTGAGGTGGAGGCGAGGGCATCGTCGGCTATCACCGTATCCTGGGGTGAGGGTCCAGATGATGAGGAGGCCATCGAGCCGGTCGAATCGGATGTACGCAACACTCCGGACATCCGCGCCACCATCGCCACCGCCGAGATGGCCGCCGGAAATGGGAGGAACGCTTGGAGGGGGGGGCCAACGGAGAGTGGTTGCAGTTTTTGGGGTCCGGGGCGTGGGGGCGATTGATTACGGTATTTGGGGCGCGTTTTGGCATTCCAAGATTGAGACTCGATCCAGGGTTTTTTGGTCATGTGCTAGAGGATTCAAGTTTTGCTATTTTTCTCAAGAATCGCCGCTAGCCTACCTGCCTTGTATTGCGTTATTTCTCAAGAATCGCCGCTAGCCTGCCCCTGCATGGACGATCCGAAAGGATCTCTGCTAGCCTGCGTAGCCACGATATGCAAAATTTCTTTGATACCTCAGAGATCTCCGCTAGTTAACCCCTTGAAAGGATTTAGAGGTTTCTCAAAGATCCCTGCTAGCTCGCGCTGAGAAAAATCGATGGGGGTTTTTCTAGCACCTTAAATGTAAATTTTTTTCGCGGTCAAACGGTCCTTGCAAGTAAAAAATCAAATTCTGCGCTGCCCAAGAACGGTTTTCCATTTCCAAAAATCTCTTCTAGCCTGCCCGTGAAATCTGCTAGCACATGACTAAAAAACCCTACTTTCTGCTCCCCACTCCCAGCGCCTTCTAGTTACCACGACCCACAACATTTTTGCATTCCAACATTTTAGGCATTTGTGAGATTACCAGGGGGCTGACAACGAGCAGAATTTCATGGGACCGCAGATACACATATCGAGTCAGACGTCGGCACCTTTCAACATGCTTGATTTTTGGGGGGATTTTGGCTGGTTTTGAGGAAGTGCATCCTGCTTTAAAGGACCGAATTTGCATATTTTGATTTGAATTCGAGTGCGAAAAATGGTGCTCAAGTTTGGAATTTGGTTGGGTTTTGAGGTAATACACCAAAATTGGTGTGTAATTATTCTTTAAAATCAAAAAGATTAGCAAAAGGTTCGGCCTTAAAAACTGATTCGCCTCTTGTCACCTCTTTAAAATCCTAAAATTCTAAATTTTTCTTGGCCAAGATAATCCCAGTTTTAGCACTTTCCAAAAAAAAAACGAAAAATCAGAACTGTCATCGAGCGTCCCTTTAATAGAAAAAATTCTGCATTCTTTGAAGATAGGGAAACTTTCCTATTGTCACGACCCCTTTAAAACGCCGCCAAATTCCCCCTTCCAATCTCCATGCGGAAATCATCGCCATCTCTCATTTACATCGACTTCCCAGACGCCAGACTCAAACTATTTTTTGTTGCACTTTTTGTGTTTTTTACGCACACGACAACGGCATTTCGCATGCATTTTGAGATGCGGAATCGATTAATTATCGATCGATTGGAATTAATTTCAGAGGGGTGGGGATAGAAGAGGCAGAAAGGATCTGGTGAGTAGATTCAAGATTTTCGAGAGTTTTCGGAGGAGGACGGACACCGGAGTGTGGCGGACATTTGTAGCGGACGTGTTTCGAGCTGATTTTTGGGGACTTGGGCTTAAGAATAATTCATATCAAAATCAAGATTTACTTCAAGTCTTTATGCAAATTTTTGAGACCTAAGCCCCCGAAAAAACCGCTATACATTGGACAGGACCGGAATCTTCTGAATACCCGGCGTAATGTACTAGCAACATGCGGCGCGAGGAATTTTTGAATGTGGATTGAATTTTTTGTGGTTTTGTAAAGTGGATGATCGGCATAGCTTGATTTGAATTGGATTGGAAAGTAATGAGTTTTGAGTAGAAAAAATTGAAAAATCTAGAAAATCGATTTTTTTTTAGTAATTCGTATCTAGAAAAAATACAACAGAGTTTGTCGCAGTTTCTAATAACTGATTAGAACGGACCTAGGCAAAAATTTAGGACCTAATCTGCATAATAATATTTCTTAGCTACACTTAACACTTCTTAAAGATCCAAGCCACCTCCAAAAATTCCGCGAATTTCCCTTGAAAATCGCCAGAAACGGGCCACAGGAATTCGTGACTGGTGTTTGCGTCAAATTTGAATCCAAATTTAAATTTGAATTTAATATTGAGAATCTAGGTCAATTTTCGCCTTAAAATCCGGATTCAAATTTGCTCAGACCGCGGACAACAAGGAGAAGGAGACGCGGGTGTACAAGCTACACCTAATGACGCAACAAGGAGGAGGAGCAGCAGGCGAGAGAACATTGAGAAGTGAGAGAAAGAGAAATAGAGCAAGAGAGTAGAGAGACACATTGAAGTGGAGAGAATTTGACTGGGGGTGTGTGAGAGAAGCTGAAAAAACGGACGCCGACTCGTTGTTTGTTTTTTGGGTTGCAACATGTATAAAAATGGGGAAAAGCAATTTGCAAATGACGGTATAAAATCCGGGGTTTTAAAGTAAAGGAAAAGCTCTGAAAATGCGTTTTTTCGCGTTTTTAAGGGACTTATGCAAGATCTCGGGACGACACTGCGAGGCGAAAAATGTAAAAATTATTTTTTGGGGGCGTTTTGCATGCTGTTTCGCGAATTTTAAGTATTTTTGAATGCGGGGAATGGAAAAGCGTTCTGAAAGTGATTTGCATATCCCTGGAAAAATACCTTAAGCTTGCGGCGGGCGTTAAACTTCTTGAGGCAGTCGACCGTGTCCTGCCTGTGGATGGCCGACGCCACGCGGTCACGTTGCTAAAATTGGGGTTTTAAGGGGACTGTGAAGGCAGAAATTTAGAAAATTTTTGACGCAGGTAAAAACTCACGCAGATCCATGGAACCTTGAGGGCCTCATCGGCGGTGATGCGCTTCTTCGGGTTCGGGGTAAGCATGCGGTCGATGAGCTGCTTGGCCTCCGGGCGCACAGTGTCCCATTCGGGTGATGGGTACTGTGACGTAGTTGTTTAGCGTAAGCGAGAGAGAGAGAGAGAGAGAGAGAGAGAGAGAGAGGAGAGAGAGATACTTACATCATAGGCTCCAGCCTTGATCTGTGCGTACAACCGGTGCTGATCCTCATCCCAGAATGGCGGGTAGCCGACCAGTAGAATGTAGAGGATCACACCTTAACGACAAGTTGAAGCAGTTCAGCTTTCTAGTTTTGCTACCACTTATTCGTCAAAATCAAAAACTTACCACAGGCCCATATGTCGACCGGCTTGCCGTAGGGGTCCTTCTTCAGCACTTCCGGCGAGAGGTATCCAGGGGTGCCGGCAAACCCGAACCAAGCTTCCTGGTCGGCAGTAACCTGGAGCTGGGCAAGGTTAGAGCGAGGGGGAATTTTAGAGAACTTAGCGTTAATATTAAAATCATTGCATGATTTAAACTAACAAAATTGCAATTATTAAAGTAAATTTCATCAATAAATTAATATTATTAAAAAAAATTCATTTTTCAGTAGATTTACAATATAATTGAAGGCGTGCACAATAGGATTCTCACCTCTATGGCCAACCCGAAATCAGCCAACTTGACGGCGGCGCCCTTCTGCTTGCTGGCAAGGAGCAGATTTTCGGGCTAAAAACGTAGATTAATTAAATTAAATAAAAGTGTGATTATGTGCCCGCCACCGCAACGTAACTCCGAGCGTTGTTTTTTTAGCTTCAGTGCTGTCTTGAGGGCACGCAACGGGACACGTTTTGCATAATGTGGCGTTAGTTTTTTAGGTGGGTGTTCCCCAAGGTTTGGTATTTTTTAAAGGTTGTGAAGGCAAAGGACCCTGGTAGATCATCATTTTCCCCAATCAGAGAACCTACGGATTTTAAACGTACATTTATTTGTAATTTTTGCGAAATTTCGACGCGATTCAAAAGATTTGGAAAATTTGCCTTTATTGAATTGCTATAGTCCATGGTATTTTTTGCGAATATTTTTGCTCAGTCTGGCACGCCAGCGGCTCTCACGCTCTATCTCACTCGCTCTCTCCCGCTCTATATCTCTCTCTCCTCTCTCTATCTCTCTCTCTCTCTCTCTCTCTCTCTCTCTCTCGTTCTCCGTTTCTCTCTCGCGCCCTCACCCTGTGCCTCTCGCCCTCTTTCTCTTCTCAATTTCCTCTTAAGACCCCTTAAATTTCATCTGAAAGTCCAAGACCAATAGACGATTTTCCATAATCGTTTCCGCGGCACCATCCCTTTAACCAATTTTTTGCCTTCACCATCCCTTTAAAGGACAAATATTCGTCTTTTTCTGGTCACGGCACACACCTTCAGATCACGATGAACGATGGAGTTGGTGTGGCAGTAGGCGATCGACTCGAGAATCTGCTGGATGCAGTGGCTGAAATCGGCAAAGCAACGTATACGGTGTGCGCACTGCTTGCAGCATTATTTACATGTCGTAATCGATTGACACGGACACGGTGGAACACTTATATGGTTAGATGGCGTTTTGTGAAACCAAGCGGCTTGCGGCAAAATCATTAATTAGAATTTGAGTTCAATTCTGGACCTTCATATCCCTATGTACAATGTCGAAGCGGTGGCAATACGCCACGCCCTCCAGGATCTGCGCAATGCACCCGCTGCAAAGTTGGGCTAATTTATGCAAATTTTGCGAAATATCCAGTCATTAAAAGGATGAATTTGCTTTTATGATATACCATATTTTTATTGCCGATTTCAAAATCTATCCGGAAAACCTGAAAAGAAGACAATAATTTTTGTAAATTTGACGCTCTCGATTTTTTAATATAATTTGCAAAGTCACAATAATTCTAGTACCTTAAAATTTTTTCCTTTAAACTAATATAAGGTAGTATGTTCGAAGTTCGCCAAAAAATTTTAATTATTGTTTTTCCAAAATGTTGTAATTTAGAAATTTAGAAGTAGCAAATTGTTTGATTTTAGAAATCCCGTTTCTGCCTTATTTTGTATATATACCTAGCATCTGCTTCGGAGTAGAATTCACGGGCGACGATATCCTCGAAAAGTTCTCCGCCGGTTACCCTGAACAATATGTATATTTAGAGGTTGTTTTTGTTTTGTTTTTCCTTTTTGAATTGGCGTTTTTAAACTCAATTTTGAGATTAAAACTCGGATACAATAACCTCAATATCCTATATCTGCGTGTGTACTATCTTTGCGCTAGATATTACAATGCCGTTCCAAGCGTCCTCAGGAATCACGTCACGAAAAATTATTCTTCCCCATGCCTCATCCCTTTAAATCAATCCATCACTTACAAGTCAAAGACGAGGTAGTGATAGGACTCCTCCTGGATGCTGTCGTGCAGGCGGACAATATTCGGGTGCTGCAGCTTGCGGCAGATCCGGGCCTCGCGCTCCAGTTTCTGAAATTGGACGATATCCAGATTAAAATAAAACGTTCAATATCAAAAAGCTACGCCCCGAACTTCAAAAAAAAATGGCTACAAAAAAGACGCTTGGCACGTGGGAAACAATCGGAAATGTGGAAATAGCTAATATGAATTTACGAGAACTGACGTCGAATTCGTTTTTCTAAAAATGGGAAGGTATTTTTTTAATATTTTTAGAGCGAAAAATGATGAATTTGAGCTGTATTTACTTAAATGCGAACGTTATAAAGCACAAAATCGTACCTGAAAATCGCGAGCGCTCAGCTTCTTCGTGTTGATGATCTTGGCGGCAAACTCCGCGGCAGTACTCTTATGGACGCATCGTCGCACCACCGAGAAGGCACCCCTGGAAAATTTGCATAGCTTCTTAGTGTTTTTGAGAATCACATTAATGCATTAAGATTCTATTTTTGATTCGTTTAGAAGGCGCCATCCTTCGAAAATTAGGTAAATTTCACCCCAGAAAATTTGCAGATTTTGAAGAGGTTATGAGCGTAGCATTAATGCGCTAATTACCTAGTCGAGATCTTTCTGATTTCCTATCCCTAGATTTGTATTAAAATGTTCTGATACCTTTTCAGTCACTCGACTTTTTTAGGCATGGATTTGGTGCAGCAGACGGCATTTTCAATTTTTCGGAGACACCATCCCTTTAAAATTTACATAAACCTCCTCAGCTGATCAAGAACAATGCACGTTTCAACCTGTCTAGACGTTCCCAAGCTTTTTTCCAACTTGTCTCAAATTTCCCATTCAACAGAAGCTCGTTTTCCCATCCGAATTGGTCCCATTTTCCTCCTAACCCCCCCCGGATAATTCAGAATCGGCTCTTCCCCTTCCCCTCCGCTTTTCCCCCACTCCAGAAATAACCCTAGGGCTTTCGAGGGGGAGCTCGAGCGTCGACGAAGACAAAAAGCCCCCCCCCCCCTTGCGTTGGGCTGTTATGGAGCAATTTGGCATCGGAGGCGATGCTGCTCTCTCTCTCCCTCTCGCTCTCTCTTTCTCTCTTATTCTATACCTTTTTTCTAGGCATCAGGGCCCAAATTGGGGCCCTCAAAAGGGGGAGACCCATCGACGTCTTTTTCCAGCGGAACCTGCTCATTAGAAGCCTACCCTCCTCCTTCTCCATCCCCCCTAGAAGAGTCACAAGGGCTCGACTACACGGCAATACTCGGTACATCTAATGGGGTGGAAAAAGAAGGACAGGATCAGAAACGGGTTAAATTGGCCCGCTAAGAGACGCTGCAAGCATGCCATTGAACTGTCTGTGGCCCCTTAAAGGGTCTCCGCTAGCTTGCCAAATTCCCAAAGAGTTTTTGTAGCTCACCCTTGCAAAAAAGAGGGACAGAGAGCGAGGAAGAGAGAGAGAGCGAGAGAGAGAGCGAGCGTGCGAAAGCGAGTGAGGCCGAGCTAGAGAGAGTTAGAGCATGGTAATGAAAGCGGGATCCCTAGAACCCGCGCCGATTTCTCCAATAATCCCCGTTTGCCTGCTTCTTCCAATTTCGCGTTTTAGTACAAAAATATTTCCTAAATACTCTCTGCTAGTGCCCCTCTCTAGGGGTCAGCGCTAGTCAGTTTTTATCTTTTATCCATGCGTTAAATTTCGCACCCACCCCCATCGAAAAATAGCCCGAAGCGGCATGTCTTGGGCCTTTTGTGCGTCTGTTTGTCCGCTTGCCTGTTGTCTGTTTGTCTGTTTGTCCTCCTATGTGCAGCGCCATCGCCCGGTGGCCTGGTGCCGCGAAAATTAATGCATTTTCAATGAAGGCCCTCGCCCGGTCCTAGGCATCGCCCGAAACGAAAACACGCGGAAAAATGGGATTTGGATGCAGGCCAAAATGTGTCAGTGGCAGCGGGGAAGATTGTTGCGAGACCTTGTCTCGTAAAACAGCGAGAGAGAGAGAGAGAGAGAGAGAGAGAGCGAGAGAGAGGTTTGCTGGGATATTCCGAAACCCAATTTGTTGAAAATAATTTGTCGGCATTTCCATTTTTCTGAGACGCGGAGTGAATTGAAATTTTGCCAAAATTATTTGCGACAAAGCGGTACGGCAGTTAATGTGCGAAAAAAAAGAACCCTAAGCTAAAGATGAAGAAAAAAATGTGAGAGAGAGGCAGAGAGAGATAGGGAGAGAGATCGAAAGAGAGCTAGCGAAAGCGAGTGAAGACAAAGAAAGCGAGAGAAGGGTAGGGTGAGTGACAGCGAGAGAGAGAGAGAGAGAGAGAGAGAGAGCGAGAGAAATAGCCAAAAATCGATTAACCCCGGCTTAGTTATTACACGAGCTTACAATTTATGCATATTTTAAACCGCAAAGCCCAAAGAAGCACTTACTTTCCGAGCTCCTCCTTGACGTCGTAGTTGTCGGAAAATTTGGTCGAAGCGTTGTTCATTGCTAAAAACGAGAAATATAAATTTACAAAGTTTTATAAATACGATTCTCAATTTGCCTCCGGACCCCCAGGCACCCAGAAGTTTCATAAATCTCCGCGTCCATCTCTTCAGTTTGTAATCTTTTAAAGTAATCTTCAGGGCTGTTAGTGGTAGCTTTTTGAGGCTTCTTTCGAAAACAGAGAAATCGGGACATTTCGGAGGTGGTGTCTCCCTGGTTTTACAGTCCTCCGAAATCGATACCCACAAAGAGACTGCGTTTTGATGTTCACACCCATTAAAATTCGAAAATTCTCGGGGTAGCGGTGCTTTCAAAGGGGCTTTTAGCTAGTTTCGACGTATGACGCGCTAAATTGCCGGCCAGCTGTTGTCGCACTCCTTTTAAATCCAAAAAATTGGTCAAAAACTATTGGAGTAAAAATGGCGAAATACAGAAACTATGCTAAATGTGCATGTTTGTTTGTTGAAGCGGAACCCTGGAAGGAATTCTAGTTAGTTGAAGCGTAAACCGATTTTGATTTCCTAAATATTTCAAGGAACATTGAAGTGCGAGGATCGATCCCTGGCGTTAGCTAGATCACGACAGTTACGTTCTACTTTAAAATATGGTGCTAAAGTCGGTGGATCTGGCACTATTTTGCATTATTCTCGGTTACTGAATATAGCCTTAACCCACAGTTGTCTAAAGCTAGTTAAAAAAGGCTGATTCTGGTGTTACCTGACGCCTTTAAAGGTATTGGGAAGGAACTCGGTGGCTGTCAAGACCTAGTCCAAAGAAAGGGGTAGATTCAGGCATTTTCCTTCGGAAGTAGACTCCAATCAGCAAAAATTCACCACTCCTCATCAGCCGCAACCCGCCAATACTATCAGCGAATGTGAAATCGGGGAGTGCCGTGGATTGTTGTGTCATGCCACACCCCACCCGGTGCCTTCAGTGGCCCTTTAAAATGGCGCCCCGGGCTAGGGAAGGGGATAATGAAGATAATAAAAGGCTCTAGCTCACTAGTAACCTAGCTATAGCTAGTGACTAGTGACTAGGAAACCTAGGATAAGCTAGCTGCTCTTCCTCCTGAATCCCAGAAATTCCAAAATCGATCGCTCCAATTCCAGACCCACCCCCTTTGCGTGGAGCATTATTTTTGATATTTCCCGGGGGCAGACAAGCGAAAATGATGAATCAGTGCCCGGCCATTCATTTTGCCGGTTTTTTCCGGGGTGCACACATCTCATCTCGGCTCTCTTTACGGGATTGGGCTGTTTGGAAATGATTTTTCAATTTTTTTTTGGAGCACCAGGTGGAGATTGACCTTGATTGGAGGTTCAGTCGGGTGAAAATTTCGAGAAATTTGGGGGAAACCGAGGATTTTGGGAGTGTGAAAGATGGGTTGAGCAAGATAAAGAAAGGTCTAAGGATCATAAGTTCGCACGTCGTTTTTTAGGCTTTAAAGGGACGGCGACACTAATTGGGCTAAGGAACACTTTAGAAAAATCGATACTTGGCTATGATCAAAATTTAACGCTCTTGAATTATTTTAATTTTTGAACGGAGCGGAACATTAAGTTTTTGTTCCAGTCAATCCATTTCTAAAAAAATCGATCTTCACCCCACTGGAATATCCTGCCATTTAAAGGGAGCGTGACAGCTAATTTTGTCTAGCGAGCGAGTCCACTAAAAATTATGAAAAGACTGCTTCACGGAAAATTCAGATGACGTTTAACGCCGTTCTTAAACGTCCCAAAAAATTCTCGGGATCGATTCGTAACTCGTCCGCTACGCCTTAAACACGGCTTCTTGACAAAAAAAAACGGATTTTAGGGCAATTTGCGATCAAAATTAGGAGGTTAAAGGGATCAAGACGACAGACCGTAGCCCTAAAAAGTACCTAAAAAATTAAAAAAGTTAAAAATTACAAAAATATTCTCAAAGTTATTTACAAAAGCCAAATGCAAGGCTCAATTAGGATACCCCTTCACAAGTCCTTGAAAACCTAAAACTCGCCTTGCTGCACCGGCGGCTTGTTATTTTTGTGGCCCTGGAGCAGCAGATCGGCCAGGCGGCCCATTTAGGAATGGAATATGCAAATTTCGATAATATTCCGGCACAATAGACCAGACTGCCGCCGATGCCCAAAAATCGGTCAAATATGAGCGAAGCGCGGCCGGGGTGTTGTGCCTGTGTGATTTTTCCGAACCGATCCGATCTACGGGTCGGGGTGTTGTGTGTATGTCTCTCTCTCTCTCTCTCTCTCTCTCTCTCTCTCTCTCTGTTTGTGCCTCCACTATGAATCAATACAAATAGTCGTCCACACTTTCTCTTTGGTTCTCTTTTCGGCAATTTCTCGTGCTCGTTCCCTCTCCCTCTCCCTCTCTCTCTCTCGCGCTCTCTCTCTCTCCACCCCAAATGCAGCCATCCAAGACCATCCCCTTTCCGGGGCTCTGATCCTCTTTTTTGGCTATCTGTGTGTGGGGGTGGGTCAAAAACGGATCGGCATTTTGGGGCGGTTGAAAAGGGTGAAAAGGCATCGAATCGTGTCGGCCGCAAAATAGGGGTCGCTGTTTGTGGAATTTGCCCTGTGATTTGGTCACATTTCTGGGAGGCTAAAAGCGTAAAAACAGCCAAAAACCGACTATTGGTTGTTAACAACTAATTTTTAGACAATTTATGTCGCCTATAACGTACAGAAATTCTCAAGAGCCTACTAGCAAGTTGAAACGCTATATTTTGACAAAATGCGCAAGCCAAAGCGAAAATTCTCGAAAAGCGTGTGGAAAATCTGGGTTTCGTTTTCTTCAGTTTTCTTCTTCAGTTTATTAAGCCTTTTTCCCCTACAAATTGCTCGTCACTGTTTTCCTTCCAAAAATGACAAACGGGCGATTCGGGCGACGCGAAAGTTTATTTTCATATTTGCGCAGGCGAAATGCGTCACCCGGCGCTGGCCGTCCGGATTTTGCGGCGCGCTACAGCGTCGCCCCAGGAAAGGGCGTCCGGACTTATTTTCATCCGGAAAAAAAACGGAAAAATCTGGAAAATAAACTTTGGAACCAGGAAAAATCTGGTACGTCGATGTATCGGGCTTTCCAAAAAAATGGAGGCTTATTTCCGAGCCTTTGCGAGCATTGGTGTGCTTTTAAAGATGCAAGAAAGCGAACTATAGATTTTTAGAAATGTCAAATTTAAAGAAATTTTAAATACCTTTAAACGTCCTAAATAGAAAGATTTTTGAAATAAAGCTAAAGATATCAAAGATATTTTAGCGTTTGATAGAACCAAGAAGAAGAAAGTTCATTTTTAGCTTCAACTCCTTGTAAAATTTCTTTTTCTGAGGCGTTGGAGTCTGGATTTTGCCTACACTGACCCTTTAAAATCAAAAACCCTATAAAACTGACGTGTGGACATAACAACCATCACTTGCAGCCGCTGTCGGTGTTAGCACATCTCACGCTGCCCGGTGAGTGAGGGGAAGAGGAGGTGGAGAACTGGAAAAATCAGCGATTGAAAAGGGTAAGGTATAAATAGAAATAGCCATGAACACGCGGAAATCGAAAATACCAAGAAAGGAATCGCGAAGAGGGAAAAATTTAAAATTTAGAAAACAGGAAACCCGGAGGCGGGGGTTCTGGCTGACGTCGAGCCTGGGCCTCCGCCGGTTATCTTGATGAGAAATCAAATTGGTTTCTCGTCGAGAAGCCAGAGTTGGAAAGTCGACTGGAGGCGTGAGAGAGAGAGAGAGAGCGAGAGAGCGAGAGAACGTGAGAGCGAGAGAGAGAGAGAGAGAGAGAGAGAGAGAGAGAGAGAGAGAGCGAGAAAGAGTGATGGCGACCGGGCGCTATGTAAAACGTTAAACAAATCGAACCAAACTATAGAAAAACCGTTACTCGCGAAGGATTTAACGTGATTTTTCAAAGACGCGGCGTACTAAATAATCATCACTACGCAAGGCTCCGTAATGACAAGTATTTTTCAGTAATGTCTAGTGTACCCTTGAGCGTCATGGCACCGAACCCGGAAGTTTTAAAGGGCTTCGTTGTCTCAGGAAGCGCGTAGATTGCCACAAAATCAATAGTTTTAATACAAAGAGATGCTTCTATTTTTTACGTAAGATCTGGAATGCAAAATCCATGACCCTGCAGATACAGAAATCTATAAGGCGTTTTCAGAGTGGCCGTGCCCCACGCTGGTCTCGGGGCATTAGAAGGATTTCCTAGACAATGTCGAGAGAGAGAGAGAGAGAGAAAGCGTGAGAGAGAGAGCGAGAGAGAGTGCTTTAAGTACAAAATTCCAGTAGTCATTTATGATTCAAGTTATTATTGGCGCTGATTATCACGTTGCTGGGTAACCTGTAGCGACACCAACAATCTGATGAAATTATCGGTTTTTGAAGGACTTGTTTGACGTCCAAGGCTTTCAAAATTATTGTTTACGTTAGATAAAGCAGTGTCAATTACCGAGAGACAAAAAATCCGAAAAGCGGCAATTTCAGGGGGAAAGGTAGATTTTTGATGGCCAAGCAAAAGTCCCAAAAATGCTAAAATAACGATGAAAACAGGAAAACAATACAATTTCTGACATTCCGTAAGAGTACTCTAAACAATCGTTTCCTCTAAACCGAGAGCAAGAGATGAAGATCCGGTACAAATTCCACGTCCCCTGGGCCCCCTTCTAATGAGTAGCGCCCCTGAAATACCATTGAGAATTCCATAAATATCCCATCAGCCGGGGGCCGGGAATCTCTAGAATCTGAACCTTTTTTATCGCTTCCGCCTCCTCGATGTGGCCCGGAAATTAGGAGCGCGAGAACTTAGGGAGAGAGAGCGCGAAAGAGGGGAGATAGAGACAGATAGAGTAAGAGAGAGCCAGTGAGATAGAGAGAGAGAGAGAGAGAGAGAGAGCGAGAGAGACAGAAAAAGTGAACGTTCGAGTCTAAAGAAAGCAAAACAAGCAAAAATTGTTCATAACACCTGGAGCTTCACCAAAAATGCCTGGAATCCGGGTCCCGCACCGGTCTGACGACTAATCCGCGCCAGTGCTGATTTCGGTGGGCGGACCGGTGGCATCATTTAGAATGAGTAAAGGATTGCGGTCTGGGGCGTCAACAATGGAAACCTCTGGCTTCAGAAAGGGGCAGGACGGCTTTGGCGGATCCGGATTGTAGGTCTTGAGCGGAGGGAAAAATTTGTCACTGGAGCCACGTGGTTGATTCAGATGACAGATTGAGGTCAGATTGAATGATAAAGTGAAAATAGGATTTGTCTGAGCGGCTTAGAAGTGAGGTCGAGATCGGATTTTCAGGCGGCAACCCGGAGAACTGGTTTAAAGGTGCTGTGACAGCTAGTCTAGTTTAGCTCAACTTAACTGCAATTGAAAACTCTGGGTTAGGATTGAGAGTCTGGGTTTAAAGGCGCTGCGACGGCGAATGGCAGTTGGGCGTCGTTCGAAGTCGGCACAACGTTCAGATTCAGATTGAGACAGTTCCAGATTCAAGTGAGATTCAGTTTCAGTTGGTGTGAAATTTGGCCATGATTTAGTAGAAAAATACAGTTTTTGCGCACGACCTTCGGATTCAAAAATCAAGCTTCAAAGAGAGCACGACAGTTAGCCGGTCCGTTTAGCTCGGATTCGTACACGCTCTGTAATTAACCGAGCGTGACGCAGCCGGCAAATCGCTCTCGTTGTAGCTCACCAATTGAAAGCGCTAAAAAATGTCTAGAAAATCCACGTTACGACAGACGCAGAATACTGTGGACCCAGCAAAAACCACTTTCCAGATGACAACTAAAAACAACCGAGACGAAATCAATTTCTGAAAGTAGTGTATGGGTCAAGAGGGCGTGGGGGGAGGGAAGTACGGCTTTTTGCCGGGGCCACCCGCCGAAGAATAATGCATTACTTTCCGGTTTTCTTCTTTTCAAAAGGAGGGGGAGACGCCAGGAGACGTGGGTGGAGGGTGGACGGACTAACTGGCGACCACCGGGAGACCAATAGACAATGTTTTCAATTGTTTTCTGTAAAAAGGGTAAAGTGCCTTATAAAAAACAGCTATTCCGAATTTAAATGCGTCCAAAATTGGACGAAAGTCTTAGACGTCAATTTAGGGTATTCTCAGATGATTCTAAGCGTAGGCGAAAGCTAAATTTTAGAAAATGTCCTTTTTGCAGAGGAATCAAGCCATGAAAAGTTTTGAACAGCACTAAATGGTTAAAAACGTTTGGACTTAAAAGGCCATTTTATTTTTATTAGCATCTTATTTACATAACCCCGCTAAGAGCTTTGAAAACTAGAAAAAGCTTTCTAGACAAAGTCTAGCAAATTTCGATGGGAAATTCTTAATAAAAATGATGAAAACTCCTGTAAAAGGCAAAAATCGATAGATTTGCATTTCTGGAAAGGCCGGAAAGTGGGACTGTCCGCGCTCCTCAAAACATTGGTTAGTGCCGGACCTGTCCAAGGTCAAGAACCTACTACGCAGCGCTCCGCCTAACGAGCCAATTGGCACCAAAGTTTTGGGGGTTCGAGTAGAGTTTTGAGTGCGTAAATCTATTTTACAAATTCCCGCCTTTAGGAAGCAAAAATTAAGCTTCTACGTGCCCTTCACTCGCAAAGTTTCGGAAATTTCGGAAGTAACTCAATTAGTACTATCGCGTAAAGATGAGACAACCTCGAGTAAAGCCAATTACGCGGGCGGTAGTGGAAATTAAGTAAAGTCCCTAAAAGCAGAGAGAAAAGGCAAATTTCGCGGAAAAACAGTGGAAAAATCGGAGGCGTAAGTTTAAAAGAATTAGGAAATCTGATACCAGGATCTCGCCGCATGACAGTATACAATTTTGCATTTTTAGCAAAGCTTAATTAAGGTTGATTTCAAGTAGTTTCCTGGGCTAAAAACGCGAAAACTTAAAAAGATGGAGTTTTGCCTTTTCGAGTATACGTGTATTTATAATTCATTAAATTTCTTATGCTAATTGAAGAAAACGCTCTGAAGGCTTTCATGGTCCAAATTATAGACTCAAAAAACGCAAAAACGGCAAACATTCTTTTGCCTATCAGCTGACCTCAAAAAATCCCAAA